TAACCTAACCTAACCTAACCTAACCTAACCTAACCTAACCTAACCTGGACCCCTTTTCCGGCGACTGCCACATGGGTAGGTTTGTCGGTTCGTAAATGGTCAAGATCAAAGTACCTTATGTATTGGAGAGGAGAGGATAAATAATAAATATGTACATCGACAAGATTAGAATCAAAATTTACATTGTGGTATGTGAATAAAAAGAGCAAATGCTTTTACTGGAAAATTCCTATGGAAAAATATTTTTCCTAGACAGAAAAAAGTTTCAACTAAAAGCATTTGCTATTCATAAGACGGGTCTTATAGACCCAATCATAACTTACCGGTCGTCTCATTGCCACCATCATTCGGACAACAGTATGGTTTCGGCATAACGTAGGGAAAACTGGAAGGTCTTTCTCCGTCACTAAATCATCAGTTAAGTTATATGCAACTATATTAACCTTGTTTTTACCACAATTCCTATCGCAATTAATACCCGAGTTTTGCAAATTTTCAAATCTGATGAAAATTCGAAAAAAATGAAAATTTCACTTTTTAAAAATTTTCGAAATTAAGGTTGAAAATATCCAAATTTTCTACTATTTATACTGAAGTTTTAATTTTTTTAAATTTTCATGTCAGTTGGCAAATTAAAAATTTCTACGTCACGTCACGTTACGTCATATGACGTGTATGGTCTATGTTTGGAAATATCTTGAAATTGGTCAAAAAGAGGGTACATAACTATCCTATTTCCTTTATCCATTACCTTCTTCCACTGAATTTAATAGTTGATGAATTCCCATTGCCAAGGGTTTCAAAGAGTGACTGTCCCCATACACCACCAGACGCCATACTGACCGAACCTGTCCCAAGGCTTCGATTTGGGACGTTGTTAGCTAAATTGTCCGTGGGTTAAATTAATTTAGCACATTTTTGCACTGATTGTTGAATTCTTTGTAAAATTGCAACTTACTAACTACCATGTCCAAATTGCAAGTTAGGTTAGGATCCACTAAACGAAGGCGAAGGAAACGACACTCCTTAAATTCTGAACGTTTCAAAAGACATGATTCCGATCCAGATAAAAATCCGAAATAAAATACAAAAATTGACAGAGCCCACCTCATTTTGGAAAAGTTGGTGAAGAAAAAATATATCGGTAAATTAAATATCCTAGGTAAGGAGTTATTGAGTGGAGTCACAAAAGGTTCGTAAAGTTGGCCGAGTTCGTAAAAAAATTAAAGTTCGCAAAATATTTCTATTAAAAATTATCTTGGGAACTTGTGCATCCCCTTGGTTATTTTTTCGTGGAAAAAAAGTTCGCAAATCTAGTTTGTTGTGATGCGGACTTGCGAACCTTTTATAAATTTCGTGTAAGTACGTGAACGCCGTGTAAGTAAATTATTAAGATTAAATTTTAAATTTTAATGTAACCACGGATTACTTATAAGTAATTCCTTACTAAGGATGGTGGAAGGAGTCGGACTGATATGAGTCATTGGTATAAAGTCCAAATGTTTATTTCATTCGTCGTACTGCAAATTCCTCCCCCTATTACTAATTTTACACAATCTTACATATCTTCGTTCAAGACGAAGCAACTCGGTCATCCATATCGGAACAAAATCCGAGCTGGACAAGTATGTACTGTAGGGGTAAATAGGTTGCTAAATATGTATATGTAAATAATTTAAAGCATGAGACAGATATGAGAAATATGCAGTTATATTTTTTACTATACTTTCATTCACTCTGGAATAACTGACTGTGCAGAGAAAGGGATATCAACGATCTTACATATGCAAGTTAAAAGTCCAAAGTATTCATTGGGAGTGTGGCAAGTTATGTGAGTGTAAGATTATATGTATACTGGTTAAATAGCAAAGTACATTGACTTCAGTGCTTCGTTTCTTGTGAGCTCAGTGCAATTGTTGCACTGCAAACCAAGAAATGCAAGAAACGGGAGGTTACTTGCAGTCGAAACACTGATTGACTTGTTAAACACTTTTATATCAATTATGATAGCGTAAATATTTATGAAACAATTCATCCGTAAACTAAATTATTTCCATGCATGAATACAAGTGTGGATTTTGCACAATCATATCTCAATTATTACTGTGTGGACTGTAGGAAACAAATTGCACCGTGCTTACGTATTGTTAGCAAAATGAGGTTCGTTTGGAGATAGCAATAATTCGGCTTATTTGAACACTCGACTGATTAGTCGAATGAAACACACACACGCAGTGGTAATAATTGGATATCTGTTATATTTTGCAATCACGAATTTACACGGTCAAATAAATTGAATATTTAAGAGCCTGCTTACGAATTAGGCAGGTAGGTTGTGTAAAATGTTATAATTATTTGATAACGGTTCAATCATTGTCAAGATATTACGTAATGATACGATCATTTAATGTAATATATAAGAATGCTTGCCAACGCCCTGCCCCGTCCAATTTCACTCAAACTTTGTCACGTTTATATTTGAATTTTAGTTCCAAAAGTATAAATTATTGGTAAATATAAACCCATATCGGTATGTAGTAAAGAAAATATTGGGTTGCGCGGTCTGAATATGCGACTCCCCCGTCGTGGTGAAAAATTTGTAACACCATGGTGTTAATTTTGTCACTGGTTACATATTTGGGTCAATTTTAACATCATGAGAATGTGAATTAAAATTTAACACCTCGCCGGGTGAGTCATAACTTGCGGTGATAATTAGTAACGGAATTTATTTTTGCAGCGGAATTGAAGCAGCATGACAGCTAATTTTCTCCACAACGTGTCCGCCTACACGTCCTGTCTTGGCCATGGTGGATTTGGTATCGTCCTAAAATCCATAGACTACTACAGCACTGAATCCGCAATAAAATTCTTATTCCCTACTAATGCCGATGCCAACGAGCAAAAACAAATCTTGCGCGAGACAACGTTAACATCCCAACTGGCCAAGCATCCCTGCCTGGTGAACACTCTCCAAGTTCAAGAACAGCTGTTCAGTTTTACGGACTTGGAAGAAATCTTCTCAGATTCAATCCTCAAATCGGACTATGAGCTGCAATTTATCGACATGTACTTGATGAAGGCACGCAGGTCGAAAGAAGGCCTGCCCACTATTTGCATTCAGATGGAGCTGTGCGGTGAAACGCTACGCTCCTGGCTCCATGAAGGGAAGGACATTAAAAACCTCGAAGTTCAAAAAATTCAGAAAACTATAATTTTAAATCTTGTCGAAGGCCTGAAATTTCTACACGATCATAAAATCATACATCGCGATTTAAAACCGGAAAATATCATGTTTTCGAAATCGGGTTTTCTATTGCCGGTAAAAATCGGTGATTTCGGTCTTTGTCGAATGATCCATAACGAGGATTCAGTGACTGGGCGACTAACTAAATCTGGCGTTGGTACGAAGGCATACATGGCGCCGGAAATTCGAACAGGGGAGTACACTCAGCAAGCGGATTTTTTCTCGTTGGGCCTAATAATTTGGGAGGTTGCACAATTCGTAACATTTGAAATGTTTGATCAATTGGTTATCGATGAGGATCGATACGTGGTGCATGAGCATCCCATGTTGGCCGGGTTTCCGGAGGTTGTGACGAAATTGACGAAACGATCGGTTAAAAAGCGGTTTCAAACGTGGCATGAAGTCGTGAATGCTGCGAAAGGGTGGATGGAGCTTGACGGAACGGCAGCGAACTGTATGACGGTGAGGAATTCGGTCGAGCTGAGATCCTGTTTGGGGATTGTACGTCCCGGAGCGGTTATAAAATTGAGGGATGGAGTGTACGTTGGGCCATTCACACTTGAGAGGAGCAATGTCACGATAATTGGTTTGTGGGAAATTATGAAAATTTTTGTCTATTTTACAATCCAATGCTATTACTTTTGCAGGACGTGGTCCTAATACCGTAATCAAGAATAAAGAAGGACACAACGGCAAACTGTTCGAAATAAACGCTAGCGAGTGCACCCTCCGCAACTTAAAATTTGAATTGACATATCCGTCTTCAGGAGTAGCAGTTGGAGGATCGAAAAACAAGTTGTCAAAGATTGAATTCGTTTCTGGCTGTGGCAGCATTAAGTTAAGAGGGCATGAAAACGAAGTGACGGACATTGTCACGTCAGGTTCATCGCAAGGAATTAGGATCGACTTTGGGAATCGGAATATTATTCAGAGATGCAAAATGGAAAATGTGGGATCTTTAGGGATCTACATTTCGACAAACTGTGACCATAATGTGGTAAAGAATATCACCGGGAGAAACGTAACATGTGGGATTCTCGTTGATGGCTCTTACAATGCCGTGACAGATGTCCATTTCATAAAAGATGCAGGAATAAAAAAAGATATTAGCGGGATTGATCTGAAGGCTAACGGATCGAATAATACCGTGGAGAATTTTGAGACCACTGGGTTCTCCAAATTTGATCAAGGACTAGATATTCGGGGAGAAAATGCCATTGTGAAAGACGTTATTTGTCATGGGGTCTACATGGAATGGAAAGGGTGTAATGCAAAACTTACTCGGGTTGATGGTGGAGAGAAGGGGATACGACGTAACAACTAATACATATTCTGGTATTTTAGAATACGAGTTAACCATGATTCATAGACTATTATGTAGGTACATCATTTGTATTAGTAATGTCTTTAAAAATAAGATTAGAGAAATGTTACAAAAACGACACGAAATATTGTAAAGTATTAAAATATGAGGCTTACATACACATTAGGTGAGAAGATTGGGTGTTATTCTTTCAATCTTGAATTTTGGCAATTAAGCATCACTGCCAATACACATACGCTCATCTTTGATAAACCCCAACCAACCACAATACAGATTAAGTAATTAAATTTATGAACGTGAACAAATAAGAACAACTCATGCTCTGTAATATTATTAGCCAAATCTTTCAACAAAAACAGAGTGAATTTCGAATGCGAAAGTCGAAATAATTTATTACAGGAAACAATGAACATAATAAAAATAGCTGGACGAATATAATTTTTATTTCTACATACAACTTCTTCCTACTTCCATCCTAATTTACATACTCGGTTAATTTTGCCAAATCAAACACCAGCATCAACAATCACCACCGGCGTCATACTGTTGGGATAAATGGTGACCTTCATAACACGATTTCCAACTCGTTCATCACTCTCCAACCTGGCCGTTGCGACAAAGTCCGAGTTAGCTACCCTAGCAACTGCACCGTGTTTCTAGTCGGAAGAATAAAATTGATTTACAATCATTACTGACGAATTGATTTTCCTTCTGGTTTGATTTTACCATGACGAAATCCACATCTGTCGCTTCTCCTTGTCCATCTCTGGCACGCTGGTTTGCATTTAAAACAGTCTGAGTTGGGTCCTCATTGAACAGTTCCCCTGAGAAAGACTTTCCTGATGGGGCTAGTCGTAATTCTATCCAATCATTGCAATCACTTTGACACGCTGCGTTCCATTTGATTACGATCGCCCCCTTTTCTGGCGATTGCCACGTGGGTAAGTTTGTTGGTTCGTAAATTGTTAAGATCAAAGTACCTTAAGTATTGGAGAAATAATAAATACATCGACAAGATTAACATGAGTAAAAGGAGCAAATACTTTTACTCGAAAATCCCTATGGAAAAATATTTTACCTGGCTGGAAATTTTAAGGTAAAAGCATTTGCTACGCATTATTCATAAGAACGATTGGACCCAATCAAAGCTTACCGGTCGTCTCATTTCCACCATCATTCGGACAACAGTATGGGTGGGGCAAAATGTACGATAAGCTGGAAGGTCTTTCTCCGTCACTAATAAATCATAAGTTAAGTTACATACATTCAACTTCATATATTAACCTCGTTTTGACCACAAATTCAAGTCCTCGCCATTAACACCAGAGTTTTGTAAATTTTCAAATCTGATGAAAATTCGAAAAAAATGCAAATACCGCTTTTTAATTAGGAGTTGATATAGAAAATATTCAAAAATAAGGTTGAAAATATCCAAATTTTCTCTATGGCGTTTTCTACTATTTAAAGTGGACGTTTATTTTTTTTAATTATCAGGGTCCAATGAAAAATTTATGTACGTCATATGTGTGTGGTCTCTAAGGGACATTGAAAACACGAGAATCTTGAATTTGGTCAAAAAAGAGGGTAACAATCCTATTTTATTCATCCATTACCTTCTTCCACTGAATTTAATAGTTGATGAATTCCCATTGCCAAGGGTTTCAAGGAGTGACTGTCCCCATACACCACCAGACGCCATACTGACCGAGCCTGTCCCAATGCTTTGATTTGGGACGTTGTTAGCTAAATTGTCCGTGGATTAAATTAATTTTGCACTGATTTTTACATTCTTAGTAAAATTGTAGACTTACTAACTACCATGTCCAAATTGCAAGTAAGTCTGGGAGCCACTAAACCAGGGCGGCGGAAACGACACTCCCTAAATTCTGAACGTTTTAAAAGACATGACTCCGATCCAGATAAAAATCCAAAATAAAATACAAAAATTGAAAAAGCCCAGTTCATTTTCAAACAGTTGGAGAAGAAAAAATTTATCGCTCAATTATCCTAGGTAAGGAGTTAGTGAGTGTATTTACAAAAGGTTCGCAAAGTTAGCATCATTCGTAAAAAAATAAAGTTCGCAAAATATTTCCATTAAAAATTATCTTGGGAAATTCTCCTTGGTTATTTTTTCGTGAACGAAAAACAAATCCCAAATCTATTTTGTTAGGATGCGGACTTGCGAGCCTTTTGTAAGTTTCGTTTACGAACGAATTTCGTTTACGTGAACGCAGTTTAAGCAAATTATTTAGATTAAATTATAAATTTTAAGTGAACCACCTTATAAACTTATAAGTAATTCTTTACTAAAGATGGTGGAAGGAGTCAAGTCAAGTCAAGTAATCCTTTATTACCGAGTGGGACTGATATGAGTCATTGGTATAAAGTCCAAATGTTTATTTCATTCGTTGTACTGCAAATTCCTCCCCCTATTAATTTTACACAATCTTACATATCTTCGTTCAAGACGAAGCAACTCGGTCATCCATATCGGAACAGTATCAAAATACGAGCTGGACAAGTATGTAGGGGTAAATAGGTTGCTCCTTAATGTGGAGTGATAAAAATAATATGTATATGTAAATAATTTAAAGCATGAGACAGATATGAGAAAGATGCATTTATATTTTTTACTATACTTTTATTCACTCTGGAATAACTGACTGTACAGGGAAAGGAATATCAACGTATCTCACATACGCAAGTTAAAAGTCCAAAGTATTCATTGGGGGTGTAGCAAGTAAATAAGTTATGTGAGTGTCAGATTATATGTATACTGGTTAAATAAGTACATTGACTTCAGTGCTCCGTTTCTTGTGAGCTTAATGATCGTCATTTGTTGCACAAACCAAGAATGCAAGAAACGGGAGGTGACTTGCACCCGAAACACTGATTGACTTATTAACCACTTTTATATCATTTATGATAGCGTATATATTTATGAAACAAACGGATTTAAAGGAAATATTTAACGCAAGGCTTGAATGTGCCTACGTAAGGTTAACATATCTAGTTAGAAGAAAACAGGTAAATAAATTTAGTTGTACTTTTAGGAATCAGTATGTATGCGAATCAATAAAGATCTATCGTGTACATCGTGAAGTCATAATTTGTTGAAGAAAACAAATATCAACTTAATTCGAGAATATGTTCAAATGAAATAAAAGGCCTAAAAGAGGTTAAAAGACAATTAAATGCTTGATACAGATTTATATTTTGTTTACATGCTACAAGTTTAGATATATTTCTCTCAAATTCCTGGCCTTCCTTTGTCACTGTAACATTGTACAAATTCGAAATTTGTTCCGCTATGTATCTATAGAAATCTTACTGAATATATGTATTGGGATAATTTATTTATTTCTAGAAAAAGAAGTGTATGTAAATATGTGTTTATTCAATTGCAAGTTAAGTATATTTAGTTAAGATATAGTCGCATTGTCACATATAGTCGCACCTGATTTCTCGCAATGATCTTCTCTCACCTTTATTATTGATTTTTACATAAGTTAAAATAACATTTTAATTGATTAATAAAGAACAATAATTAATTAATTGAATTTGGCACAACTGGACATGTGGTAATTATTGTAAAAACTAGGCGATTTGGTGGTGCCCGTGGCACCACGGTAATTATGTTGCACGATTGTCCGTCCGTAATAAATCCCTTCAATGCATTTCTGTGCTCATACCTCAGTACATAGCACGTAGTGGAACCAAATGTAGGGAAACAAATTCCGTTAAAGGAACGTGTCTAAAATTCGGATGTCAAACGTGGCATGCCTTTCCCGTTACATAAGATGCAACCATGTTTTGGTCTTGGTGGTAAGCGAAGGTTACGCGAGGAATACTGAATTCTGAATACTGAATTCTGAATACTGAATATTTAAATACTGAATCCTGAATACTGAATTCTGAATACTGAATACTGAATACTGAATTCTGAATACTGAATTCTGAATACTAAATATTGAAATACTGAATTCTGAATACTGAATTACGAATACTGAATACTGAATTCTGAATACTGAATTAACTTATATATTTACCCAATTCTGTCTGTCTGTTAGTCTGTCTGTCTGTCGTCCTGTAACGCATCCCACCTATATGCTGAATTTCAAGCTTTGTAAGGGAGAGCACTGAGAAGAGAGAGGCAACCCTTGCTGGTTGCAGGAGAGCGCGACCGAGTGCGTTACGCTGTGTAGTGGAGCGAGTTGGAAGAGAGTGCTACTTACATATAGAGACAGACCGAGCGGTTAGAACGCCGTGTCTGTCTGTGAGAGTGAGTAACCAAGAGATAAATGGAACTTGGGCTCACTGGTTAATAAGCATGGCAATGCTTTTAAGCATGGCCTAGTATTTAAGAATGGACCAGTGGTGTTGAGGCAGGATGAGACTAGGAGCGAGAGGGAGCTCAACTAAGCTGTTAGTGCATACCTACTCTAGTTATACCGAGTCCTACTCGTGCTATATAAGAGTTATGCGGTGGACTGGAGTCGAATCAGGAAAGTGGTGGTGGCTCTGGACAGTAAATACATAATCAAGTAGAAATTTATTTAGGTAAGAAGTGTTAGTTTGCAGAAAGGGGCTCAGAGCCGCTACCTCTATCCTCAGTGGTAGCTGCCAATCACTGGCTTGTTAGTAGAGAGAGAAAATCATACATACATGTGCATGGGAGTTGACTCGTCGCGAGTCAAAAACATAGTAGTCCCAAATGGGAGCTCGGACGCTCCTTAAATAGTGGGCTGCGGGTATCTCACCCGCATTAACTTAGTTGGCCTTCATGGCCAAGCCAGTCTATGACCTCGTCTAGACTGGTTAATTTAATTAATTAATTCGACGCGATGGAATTCGCGTTGTGTAGGCTTTCAGCCCTACAGCTTCTAGGACCATATTTGAAAATCGGTGGGGGTCACACCATAGGGTACCTCCGGGTAAAAATTTTCCAAATTTTAGTTCGTATTCTTTCATTAGAAGCCATTAGAGACCTCTGTGCCAAATTTCAGCATTATACGACAATTTTGAAAATTTGGTGCATCATACCCCCACCGCCTATATGACCCCCACCGGTCAACGACTTGACCGATTTCGCTCATCTTCGAACTTAGCCTCACTTTTGACCTTATCTACGTGTGTGCCAAATTTGAAGTCAATCGGATAAATTTAAAGAGAGTTATCGTGTCCACGGACGGACGGACGGACATGACAATCCCATAAGCCCTGGCTCGGGCTAAAAAGTGCAAAAATTGCGACCTGGTAGGAGACGATCAAACAACCTTTCAATTTACACCACTAAATCGCCTAGTATAAATATATCCACAGCCAAATTGTTTCAAAGTACCTCATTTTAGCATTACGAACAATTCCGTACAAATTTATTGTTATTTTGCTACTTAAAAGGTCAATTAAGTGACCCTTTAAATCTTAGAATGTAGTTGGGAAGACAAATCCAATAAAAATATACATAAGATCCAAAGTTTATTTTGTCAAAAAAATTTTAAAGTATTAAAAGTAGTAAAGTAGTAAAAATAGTAAAAAGTAGTAAAAATTTTTAAAAATTTTACTAATTTAAAAAAATTAGTAAAATTGTTTATGATTTTAGATAGTAGCCATTTTTCAACTACTGGTTACTGTTTGTGATTTTTGCAATCGGAAGTTATCGTGATTTCCTTTCCTTTGTGTGCTCTAAGTCCCTGGTCACCATGATCCAGTTTCTGGTTGTTGCTTAGCCAAATCTCTATTTTTGTTTGTTCCCCGTTCTTTCCTGTTACGGTATTTCTAGTGGATGATTCCGTGAAAACGATGTTGTCAAAGTGTCCAGAAAAGGGATAGGAGAGGCCGTGAACATCCCAGCTACACAATCCGATGAACTGTTTAGGATAAATAAATAAAATGTTTCAAACTATGTGGTAGAATTACTTTTTTGACCAAACTTTTCGCCATCAGGGTATTCCGACCCAGGTTTTAATTGGGTTGGGGTTTTTGGGTTTTAATGGGTTTTAATGGGTACCAAATGATTAAAACCCATTGGGTTTTACTATGTTAAATGGGTTTTATTTGGGTTTTAATGGGTTTTATTTGGGTTTTAATTATATTTTACATGAAAACACATTCTAAAAGTTAAATACATCAATCACACGTTAGATAAAGTTATTTCAATCCGGTTAGGGAGCTAATTTAATTAAAATTGCATTTTTTTAATCTGAAAAAATTGGCACCATCATTTGTCATCACGAGTTTCAGTCAATGGGAAAAATTAATTTTGGAACCAATACAATTGCTAACTTGAATTGGGAGAATTTATATGTGATTAGGAATACATTTGCATAAGTTGTAAATTTTTTTATAGCATTTATTGCTTAAAACCCAATAAAACCCGTTAACCCATTAAAACCCAAAAAACCCGTTAAAACCCATTAAAACCCGTGGGTTGTTAATTTTTGATTAAAACCCTGGGTTTTTCCCAACCCTGCTCGCCATGGTAGGTACATTGCCTTTCAACAGCTTTGGATACAATTTTCTACCGTAGTGTAGCAAACACAGGGAAGCTAAATCCTGCCCTACCTACCATATCACCGAACTAGAATTTGCGTCCCTCCGACAGTATGCGACCATAATTCTTGCCTCGTGGTAGAAGTACCTACAATAGTGGTAATAATGTAGCCCAATTTTGAGTGTAAACTTACGTTTTGAGTAGAATGTTCATTCTCGTAGATGTCAATTTTTATACTCTGTGAAATAGAAGGTGTAAATTTTAGATCTGCTGCTTTGGTTTATGTCGTATTTATCTAGACCGGAATTCAGTATGTCACTGAATTGAATCTTACTGAATTCCGGTCCTGGGTTTTACCTCCTTTTTGATTTTGGGTGCCAGACAAAAACCTCGGGGAACCTGGGATTGTAGGAATCTGTGATTTCTGCTGCACGGACGAAGCATTCATTGTGACCTTCGACGTAAATGTGTAACGAAAAGTCTGAAAAGAAAGATTTTTTTTGAGGATGGGCCAATATGCACACGTCCTTACTCCCTAACAGTGGAAAGTTCCGGAGCTACAGGTTGATTGTTCTCATTCGACCGTACATAGTCAAAAAAAGATTTGCATGTTGAACTATCGACAAGCTACTACCAATAGGTCTCGATAAAATTTGCCCTCAAAGATCAGAAACGCAAGATTACAGGAAATTGAAGCGTGTATTCTTACCTGATGACATTTCCGATCAAATTTTTTCAATACCTACTGGCAAGCTGTCGATAGTTCGATTCGCAAATTTTATTTTTATAATCCTTTTGATCCAACGAGACTAATTTGATGAAAATCGGGATCAATATCGGCGGAATCATCCATGGTATTTAGCCACTTTTTTGAAATTTTGCTCATCAAATTTCTTTTTATCCTACTGCGAAGCTGGCATGACTTGGGTTTACTACTTGGTAATTTGCTGAAGTGGTAAATAAGATTTTGGCCTTCATCTTAACATACCAGGTTTGCTGGTCCAGTCGATATCCGGACCATTTCTAAGTTTCAAATAACTATAGGTTCCTAATAACCTAATAAGTTCCAGTAACCTAACCTAACCGAACATTTTTAACCATACTAATTCTAAGATTATAAAATTATCGTATTACGTTATGCCGAATTTCATCTTGAACGTCGGCAAATTGTCCGCCATTACCCACTTGTTGGGTAGTACGATGGAGAGTACTAGGATGTAGGTATACTGCATGTTGAGGTTCAACTAAATAGGATTGACAAACTTAAAGTGAGAGTAGAAACTTGGCTAAAATCGAGCTTTTCTAGTTTTATCCCAGTCAACCAACTACACAGAACAAATTTAATTAGTCATTGTTTCTTTGAATTAAAGGATATGGCGTTATATAAGGTATCACAATGGAGTCTCACATCCTGCCTCACGCGAATTACAAGAACATCCCGTCATTAATTTGTAAATGGAAAAGCAAGATAAAGAAAAACTCTTACAATTTTTTGGTATATTACCTATCAAATGAATATAATTCTGACCCGGGAGTTGTTATGTATATTAGAGTACCCATTCTTGGAACTGGAGACGGATGGTTTTTCACTTTAATTCGTAAAAAAATTAATCTAGAGATCTAAATCTTTTACAGGATGTAAGTAGTAGACTATTCAAATCTACGTAAAAAATTAGATTCTAATTTATTTTCTGCTTCTAATTGATGTTTTCTGCACGTCCGCCATTATGATTTTTCGGACTATCAAAATTCATAGATAATTTTCTCCAATTGGCAACGATATTTTCTAACAGTATCGGCTGTTCTGAGTATCATATAAAGTGCCCTCTTACATACAAGCAGATATTGTTCGATTGAGGTTATATAAGAGGCGTTTGGTGGATTTCCGTGTATGAATAAAAAACAATTTCTTCTTCCACATTGTTTGCATAGTGGAATTTTGTAAGGATCTGCCAGAAAATCTTATTTCCGATTATCCAATGCCCTTGATATAGGGAATTAGAATACCAACACCTCATTCCCAAAAATATGTTTCTGAGAGCATATAGCTCCCTCAATATAAGGCTGATAAATATGGCGGAAGTGCTCCAACCGCGTCATAACGTTGGGAATTTTTATAGAAAATTTATTCCTTGATTGGTTTCTGATGAAAGATGAATTTTGGAATGGAAATATTGCCCGGATGGAGCTTCAAAAAAATCCTGACCAACATAGAACGTATCACCAATCACTGCAGTTTTTTATGCAGTTTTTTTGCAGAGTATAGGAAGTCAGTCTTAATTTGTTTCTACTGGATTTCAGTAAGCTTTTTTGTTAATTTTTTAGGAGTAAAATTAACCCCTCTAGTATGAAGTTTCATATCATACAAATAGTTTTCATTGATTTAAGTTTCTTGGTATTGGGAATTTAATTTTTGAGAGGGAGTATTAGAGGGGGTTAACCTTTCAATGTAGCTGCACCAGGTCACGGAATTTTTGACTAAAATTACTCCCCTGGGGTTAGCCTACACTCGTATTGGTTACCTCTCACTAGGTATACTTTTTGCCTGATAGCTGAAATATGAGTCGCGAAATATTACGTTTTGTAGATAATATGGATGTTTGTATGGTGAAGTGACATTATTTTTTTGCAAAAGTTAGGTTTGTCCTCACAAATTAAGGACAAAGATTTAGCGAGCAGACGGAGAGGGACCCGAGTAGTCATTGAACTTTTCAAGTTCATTTTCTCCTGAACTCCCCCACTGCCAGAGTGGAAGCCCGGTCAGCTGACCGCCCGCTCGCTAAATCTTTGTCCTTAATTTGTGAGGCCAAACCTAACTTTTGCAAAAAAATAATGTCACTTCACCATACAAACATCCATATTATCTACAAAACGTAATATTTCGCTACCCATATTTCAGCTATCAGGCAAAAAGTATAGCTAGTCAGTCGAAGTACGGCATGCATACATCATTTTCCTCGGGATTGCAAGGGTTTTCCAACCGTATACTAAATTTTAAAAGTTACCAAACCCCCATTGGGTGTGGTGAGTTTCAATAGCCTCAATAGCTAAAGTGCTGGGGAGGAATTCAATTGACACATAAGCAATGCCTAAAGTTAAAAATTTGCTAAGCAACCCTGATTTCAATTAAATTAGGAGAAAGTTAGGCATTTGCTTAAAAGGACACTTAAGCAAAATTTTCATAAAATTGAATTAAATTGAGCCATGATTAAACTTAGGCATGCAGAAAGATAAAGGTGCTTGAGACCACTCTTGCCTCTTGAGTAACGCAATTTTAATTAATTTCGTCCTGCAAAACTTATAATTAAGAAAAATTAAGGTACATCAGAATTTCCATCATCAAGTAATTTACACCTGTTTGCGGAATGAGAGAAATCGACAATATCGACAGCGAAATTTGTTTGAAAATCTTTCGGAATTTGAGCTAAAAAAACCTTCTTCCTTCTTCCGTGGGGTGCAAGAGAAATGGTGGAATGGATTGGACCACTTGTAGAACCAAAGTCAACAACAAATTCCTCGCCGCATTAGGGTTTTTTAGGTCGGGAGGGTTTCAGTGGTTAATGGGGTCTAACTCTTGGTCATCACAATCGACGTGCAGCAGAATCATTAATGAGGTATTATAAAATTTAGGGCTAAATATGTGGTTCAAATGAAGTAATGTTGCAAATTTAAGGTAAGCCTACGCCTGGTAAACGAAGCACCACGCTTCATTACCTTTCCCGACGCCAATGAGCAGCAGAGAATCAAAGTCTCTTTTTACGTCCAGAGTCAGCTGTCCAACATAATTGGACTAGTGGATGGCACTCACTTGGTAGATGCATTGCAATTTTACACATAGGTGAGAAGGTTGGGTGTTATTCTCTCAATGTCGAATTTTGACTCTTAAGCATCACTGCCAATACACATATGCTTATCTTTGATAAACAACAACCATCCAATACAGGTAAAGTAATTAAATTTATGAACGTGAACAAATAAGAACAACTCATACTCTGCAGTATTATTAGCCAAATCTTTCAATAAAAACATAGTGCATATTTCTAATACGAAAGTCGAAATAATTAATTACTGGAAACAATGTGATAAATAAAGCTGGACGACTATAATTTTTATTTCTAAGCACATATAACTTTTTCCTACTTACATCCTAATTTATATGCTCGGTTAATTTTCCCAAATCAAACACCAGCATCAATAATTACCACATCCGGCATACTGTTGGGATAAATGGTGACCTTCATAACACGATTTCCAACTCGTTCATCCCCCTCCAGCCTGGCCGATACGACAAAGTCCGAGTTTGCTACCCTTGCAACGGCGCCGTGTTTCTAGTCGGAAGAATAAAATTGATTTACTAAAATAATTACTCACGAATTGATTTTTGTCGTCGTTTTTGATTTTACCGTGACGAAATCCACATCTGTCGCTTTGTTTTGTCCATCTCTGACACGCTGGTTTGCATTTAAGACAGTGTCAGTTGGGTCTTCATTGAACAGTTCCCCTGAGAAGGACTTTACTGATGGTGCTAGTCGTAATTCAATCCAATCATTGCAATCACTTTGACACGCTGCGTTCCATTTGAGTAAAATCGAAGCCTTTTCTGGCGACTTCCACATGGGTAGGGTTGTCGGTTCGTAAATGGTCAAGATCAAAGTACCTTAAGTATTGGAGAGGAGAAGAGAAATAACAAATATATTGACAAGATTAGAATTAAAATTTATATTGTGGTATGTGAATAAAAAGAGCAAATGCTTTTACTCGAAAATTTTTATGGAAAAATATTTTTCCTAGATGGAAAAAAGTTACAAGTAAAAGCATTTGCTATTCATTACACGGGTCTTATAGACCCAATCATAACTTACCGGTCGTCTCGTTGCCACCATCATTCGGACAACAGTATGGTTTCGGCATAACGTAGGGAAAACTGGAAGGTCTTTCTCCGCCACTAAATCATCAGTTAAGTTATATGCAACTATATTAACCTTGTTTTTACCACAATTCCTATCGCAATTAATACCCGAGTTTTGTAAATTTTCAAATCTGATGAAAATTCGAAAAATGAAAATTTCACTTTTTAAAAATATTCGAAATTAAGGCTGAAAATATCCAAATTTTCTACTATTTATAATGGAGTTTAATTTTTATTTATTTTCATGTCAGTTGACAAATGAAAAATTTCTGTACGTCATATGACGTGTATGGTCTATATTTGGAAATGTCTTGAAATTGGTCAAAAAGAGGGTACATAACTATCCTATTTCCTTCATCCATTACCTTCTTCCACTGAATTTTATAGTTGATGAATTGCCATTGCCAAGGGTTTCAAAGAGTGACTGTCCCCATACACCACCAGACGCCATACTGACCGAACCTGTCCCAAGGCTTAGATTTGGGACGTTGTTACCTAAATTGTCCGTGGATTAAATTAATTTAGCACATTTTTGCACTGATTGTTGAATTCTTTGTAAAATTGCAGACTTACTAACAACCATGTCCAAATTGCAAGTGAGGTTAGGATCCACTAAACGAGAGCGAAGGAAACGACACTCCCTAAATTCTGAACGTTTCAAAAGACATGATTCCGATCCAGATAAAAATCCAAAATAAAATACAAAAATTGACAAAGCCCAGTTCATTTTTACAAAATTGGTGAAGAAAAAATATATCGCTAAATTAAATATCCTAGGTAAGGAGGGATTGAGTGGATTCACAAATGGTTCGCAAAGTTGGCAAAGTTCACAAAAAAATAAAGTTCGCAAAATATTTCTATTAAAAATTTTCTTGGGAACTTGCGCATCCCCTTGGTTATTTTTTCTAGGGGAAAAAGTTCACAAATCTATTTTGTTGTGACTCGGACTTGCGAACCTTTTATAAATTTCGGTATGAACGAATTTCATGTACGTGAAGGCCGTGTAAATTATTGAGATTAAATTTTAATGGAACCACAGATTACGTATAAGTAATTCCTTACTAAAGATGGTGGAAGGAGTGGGACTGATATTAGTCACTGATATAAAGTCCAAATGTTTGTTTCATTCGTCGTACTGAAAATTCCTCCCCCTATTAATTTTACAAAATCTTATCATCGTTCGTTCAAGACGATGCAACTCGGCCGTGCATATCGGAACAGCATCAAAATCCGAGCAGGACAAGTATGTAGGGGTAAATAGGTTGCTCCTTAATGTGGAGTGATAAAAATAATATGTATATGTAAATAATTTAAAGTATGAGACAGATATGAGAAAGATGCATTTATATTTTTTACTATACTTTTTTCACTCTGGAATAACTGACTGTGCAGAGAAAGGGATATCAACGTATGTATCTTACATACGCAAGTTAAAAGTTCAAAGTATTCATTGGGAGTGTAGCAAGTAAATAAGTTGTGTGAGTGTTACATTATGAGTATACTGGCTAAATAAGTAAGTACATTGACTTCAGTGCTTCGTTTCTTGTGAGCTCAGTGCAATTTTTGAACTGCAAAACAAGAAATGCAAGAAACGGGAGGTTACTTGCACCCGAAACACTGATTGACTTGTTAAACACTTTTATATCAATTATGATAGCGTAAATATTTATGAAACAAACGGATTTAAAGGAAATATTTAACCCAAGGCTTGAATGTGCCTACATAAGGTTAACATATCTAGTTAGAACAGGTAAATAAATTTAGTTGTACTTTTAGGAATCAGTATGTATGCGAATCAATAAAGATCTATCGTGTACATGGTGAAGTCATAATTTGTTGAAGAAAACAAATATTAATTTAATTCGAGGATATGTTCAAATGAAATAAAAGGAGTAAATAATCTTACGGTGCAAATTTTATAAAAAAATGAGTGGAAATTACCTCAATTCATCCGTAAACTAAATTATTTCCTATTTTATTATTTTAAATACGGAATTGCAATATTGTGAAAAATTTAGTAACCCAGGGGAATCGAACGTCGTCTGAATACATGTCAGACGCTTTCCCATTAAGCTACCAAGGCCACTGCCTCCTTCACATTGCAATTTATTTCGTATTTTTTGTGATTGTTTTGTGAATTTAATGTAAATTATTTCCATGTATGAATACAAGTGTGGATTTGGCACAATCATATCTCAAATATTATTCTGTGGACTGTAGGAAACAAATTGCACCGTGCTTACGTATTGTTAGCAAAGTGAGATTCGTTTGGAGATAGCAATAATTCGGCTTATTTGAACACTCGACTGATTAGTCGAATGACACAGACATACGCAGTAATAATAATTGCATATCTGTTATATTTTGCAATCACGAATTTACACTGTCAAACAAATTGAATATTTAAGAGCCTGCTTACGAATTAGGCAGGTAGGTTGTGTAAAATGTTATAATTATTTGATAACGGTTCAATCATTGTCAAGATATTACGTAATGATACGATCATTTAATGTAATATATAAGAATGCTTGCCAACGCCCTGCCCCGTCCAATTTCACTCAAACTTTGTCAATTATTGGTAAATACCCATATCGGTACGTAGTAAAAAATATTGAATTGCGCGTTCTGGATATGTGACACCCCCGTCGTGGTGACAAATTTATAACACCATGGTGTTAATTTTGACACTGGTTACCTAGTTGGGTCATTTTTAACATCATGAGAATGTGAATTAGAATTTAACACCTCGCCGGGTGAGTTATTCCTTGTGGTGATAATTAATTAATACCGGAATTCATTTTTGCAGCAGAATTGAAGCAGCATGACAGCTAATTTTCTCCACAACGTGTCCGCCTACACGTCCTGTCTTGGCCATGGTGGATTTGGTATCGTCCTAAAATCCATAGACTACTACAGCACTGAATCCGCAATAAAATTCTTATTCCCTACTAATGCCGATGCCAACGAGCAAAAACAAATCTTGCGCGAGACAACGTTAACATCCCAACTGGCCAAGCATCCCTGCCTGGTGAACACTCTCCAAGTTCAAGAACAGCTGTTCAGTTTTACGGACTTGGAAGAAATCTTCTCAGATTCAATCCTCAAATCGGACTATGAGCTGCAATTTATCGACATGTACTTGATGAAGGCACGCAGGTCGAAAGAAGGCCTGCCCACTATTTGCATTCAGATGGAGCTGTGCGGTGAAACGCTACGCTCCTGGCTCCATGAAGGGAAGGACATTAAAAACCTCGAAGTTCAAAAAATTCAGAAAACTATAATTTTAAATCTTGTCGAAGGCCTGAAATTTCTACACGATCATAAAATCATACATCGCGATTTAAAACCGGAAAATATCATGTTTTCGAAATCTGGTTTTTCACTACCGGTAAAAATCGGTGATTTCGGTCTTTGTCGAATCATCCATAACGAGGATTCAGTGACTGGGCGACTGACTAAATCTGGCGTTGGTACGAAGGCATACATGGCGCCGGAAATTCGAACAGGGGAGTACACTCAGCAAGCGGATTTTTTCTCGTTGGGCCTAATAATTTGGGAGGTTGCACAATTCGTGACGTTTGAAATGTTTGATCAATTGGTTATCGATGAGGATCGATACGTGGTGCATGAGCATCCCATGTTGGCCGGGTTGCCGGAAGTTGTGACAAAATTGACGAAACGGTCGGTTAAAGAGCGATTTCAAACGTGGCATGAAGTCGTGAATGTGGCGAAAGGGTGGATGGAGCTTGACGGAACTGCTGCGAACTGCATGACGGTGAGAAATTCGGTCGAGCTGAGATCCTGTTTGGGCATTGTGCGTCCCGGTGCGGTTATAAAATTGAGGGATGGTGTGTACATTGGACCATTCACACTTGAGAGGAGCAACGTCACGATATTAGGTTAGTGGAAATTATGAAAATATTTGTCTAGTTTATAATCCAACTTTCTATTGTTTACAGGACGTGGCCCCAATACCGTAATCAAGAATAAAGAAGGACACAACGGCACCCTGTTCGAAATAATCGCTAGCGAGTGCACCCTCCGCAACGTCAAATTCGAATTAACATACCCGTCTTCCGGAGTAGAAATTAGAGGATCGAAAAACAAGTTGTCAAAGATTGAATTCGTTTCTGGCTGTTGCAGCATTGACTTAAGAGGGGATGAAAATGAAGTGACGGACATTATCACGTCAGGTTCATCGCAAGGAATTAGGATCGACTTTGGGAATCGGAATATTATTCAGAGATGCAAAATGGAAAATGTGGGATCTTTAGGGATCTACATTTCGACAAACTGTGACCATAATGTGGTAAAGAATATCACCGGGAGAAACGTAACATGTGGGATTCTCGTTGATGGCTCTTACAATGCCGTGACAGATGTCCATTTCATAAAAGATGCAGGAATAAAAAAAGATATTAGCGGGATTGATCTGAAGGCTAACGGATCGAATAATACCGTGGAGAATTTTGAGACCACTGGGTTCTCCAAATTTGATCAAGGACTAGATATTCGGGGAGAAAATGCCATTGTGAAGGACGTTATTTGTGAAGGGGTCTACATGGATAGGAAAGGGAGTAGTGCAAAACTTACTCGAGTTGATGGCGGAGAGCAAGGGATACGTCGGAACAACTAATATTCTGACATTTTGAGTTAAGCATGATTCATTGATTACGTATTAGGTACATCATTTGTGTTATTAATGTCTTTAAAAATTAGATTAAAGAAATATTACAAAAACGACAGTAGTGTATTAATAATATTGTAAAGTATTAAAATATGAGGCGTACACATTAAATGAGAAGATTGGGTGTTATCATTTCAATTTATGAATATTTATGTACAATGAAAAAACTTATAAGCAAATCTTGCAGAAATCGATAATTCGAAAAGGAGAAAAAATATGTTTGTATAACCACTATTCGAATTAGGGCGACAAATATGCACATTTTATATTTTCTTCCATTATGACAAAATTTTTGTCATCTTTCAGTTTATATAATTTTACACAAAAAATTTAAAACATTTCATTAAGCCATTTCGAAGATATCGCAAAAAAATCTTATTTCCTAATAAATCAATTTCTGTAATGAGAAACACGTTTATCCATCGTGAAATACAAGTAGCCAGTGACGTATGAATGAAACAGTTTCACGGGGCCTATTGATGGAGTTGTGATGTGAGGAGGGAGATATAATGCTATCACTCAACAAATTTACTAAATTATATCCGTGTCGCGGCAATAGTGAATGATGATTATCATGACTCTCTCACGTTGATTACCTATTACACCACTAAAAACACACGTGGCATACATATACAATATTGCACACATCACTTGCATATCAATAAGTTACTTGTTATCTGGAATATCCTCAAATACATATATTTACGCAACTACTTTGCAATTGACATAAATAACATGTCATTAATCTTGCAGCACACAACGCTAGAGAAATTACCACTTTATTAAGTGGTAATCACTCTCCTCTGTTTTGAGATTAAGTTAATTGACAGATGCATACCTGTACACCTGCATTCATTAAAGGAAAGTGAAGACTTCGTTCTCATTGAAGGCTTGAATATTGAATGAGGGGAATGAGGAGAGCTTTGAGCTTCACATAAAGAGTTGATGGGAATGAAGGAGAAATGAATGAGGAAAATGAATGTAATGAAGGGAAATGATGTTCTAAAATGAAATTAGCAATATTCTTCATAAAAATGCTGATATTTCTGTGGTTTTGTACGATTTTACGATAAAAATCAAACCTTCAGTGCCGTTCACTCATTTCATTTAATAAGGGAGATATCTCACTATACTACAGTGAATGAAGGAAGATGAAGGCTTCACTCATTGAATGAGAGAGAGCGAAGGATGAGGTGAGGATGTAAAAAATGAATGATGGTGAATGATGTAAAACTTATTTGCACAGGTATGGACAGACGCAGTAAATATCAACAAAAGATAACATACAAAATAAATTTGTTGAGTGGAACATGATGTGTGCAAAATGTGTGCAAAATAACTCCAATAGGTTTGTTCTACATAGTTTATGAATAATCAATCAAAGTTGTCATGTATAATTAGATAAAAATCTGTATTTAAGTGGGTTGGGGATCCCATACTCAATTATTCTAAAGCTCCTCATCAGGCAGAACCAACCCATTTAAATAAAACTACAATGAAGCTCGCCCTCGTTCTTCTCGTCTCCATTTGTGCCTCCGTGGCCCAATGTCAGCTGGACTACAACTACGCAGAGGTCCTCCGCCTCTCCAACCTCTTCTATGAAGCCAACAGATCGGGTAGACTGCCACAAAGTAATCGCATCTCGTGGCGTAGCAACGCCTTCGTAGATGACGGCCAGAGAGAAGGAATTGATCTTGATGGTGGATACTTTGATGGTGAGTTAAATACTCAGTAAATTAACAATTAAGCTTGTAAGACAATTATGTGATTTTTTTAATAATTTATCCAGCCGGTGACCACGTAAAATTCGGCTTCCCAATGGCCGGCTTTACCACAATTCTTAACTGGGGACTGCTCGATTGGCGTAACGGTTACGACAAGGCTAATGATTACGCCAATAGTCTAAGCACGGTGAAATGGTCGCTCGACTTTTTCATCAAGGCGCACGTCGCACCGAATGAATTATACGGCCAAACTGGGGACGGGTATCAAGACCACAGCTTCTGGGGCCGACCAGAAGATTGGCCGAATGGTCCGAGGCAATCCTGGAAGATTACGCAGCAGCAGCCGGGATCAGAACTGGCTGGAGAAACTGCGGCCGCTCTAGCGTCGGGGTATCTAGTTTTCAGAGAGGAAGACCCCACGTATGCAAACACCCTGCTACAACATGCCAGGGAGCTTTATAACTTTGCAAAGACGTATCGGGGTGATTACACTAATGCCATTCCGGCCAGGGATTTTTACAAGTAAAAAAAAGAAATAGTTTTTCTTACGCGGAATGGTTGAGATTTTCATAATTGCTATTTTCTGAGTACAGCTCCTGGTCCGGGTATGGTGATGAACTCGGTTGGGCAGCCGCTTGGCTTTACAGGGCCACCAATGAGTCCGCCTTTCTCACCGATTTGGACGGATTCTGGACCGAGTTCAACCTCAATGGACGTCCCGGTGAGTTTGGATGGGACGATAAGAAAGCCGGACTTCAAATCCTGATGGCCAAACTGACCAACGATGCAAAGTATGTCCAACCGGCGACACAATTCTGTGACTGGGTTGTCGATCAGGCGCCCAAGTCACCGTTGGGAATGGTCTTTCTGTCAGAGTGGGGGGCACTCAGACACGCGGCAAACGTGGCGTTTGCATGCATTACTTTTGGAGAAGGTATGCAATTAGAAAAACTAAGTTATAGAAAAAATTTAGGTGAGTTTAGAAAATATTGGTATTCATTTTTTTAGTTCCTGGAGCCAATCAAGAGAAGTACAGAACATTTGCCCGTCAGCAAATTGGTTACGCTCTTGGGAACACTGGTCGCAGTTTCGTTGTCGGTTTCGGAATTAATCCTCCTCAGAGGCCACACCACCGGGGAAGTTCTTGCCCTAACCGACCACAACCGTGTGACAACGGACTCAACAATCCTGGACCTAATCCACAAATTCTGTATGGAGCTTTAGTCGGAGGACCGGGCCTTGATGATTCTTACACTGACGACAGGAACGACTACGTCAAGAATGAAGTGACTACCGATTACAATGCCGGATTCCAAAGTGCACTTGCCGCATTGACGCAAATCTATCAATAAATGTAGTAAAGTGTCCTAAATATTTACCTGAATTTGAACAGACCTAAATAAATCAGCCTTTAAATTTGATATTACAACAATTTGGCAATTCTTCAAAATATATGTACATCTTCTACATAAATAAGTTATTTTATTTCACTTGAGCTATTGAGCATTCAGTTTAAAATAGATCAACAATCCGTGTGCCTGTCCCGCCGTTTCTTTGCGTTCATACTTAGCCATAGAATGAACATTTCAATGGGAAAGAATTTTGAGACCGGGGGGCATTATTAGATTTAGTCTCAAAATAAATTTTTCCTCTGTCAGGAAGTCCGTAACAATTCCGGTCAAAATAGAACGCAGTTTTTCTGATAGCTAGTTATGCAAAGAATAAATCGCGTTTTGATAGATTCTGATACATAAATAATTGGGTGCAGCATGAAACATATTATTATTGTACAGATCTTCTCACATTGCGGTATATTTAGGATAAACTTCATTTATTATTACTTTCAAAGCTTTCAAAGATAAACTTTTTCGTAAGGCAAATCAAGAAAATTATCCCCCGAACAAAGCATGCCGATTGTTAAGTGGATACTTTACAAATTTGGGCGATTTCATGAATTCAGCAATCCTGGGCAGGGCTTCCACACGAGTCATAAACTGTTCCAGGTTCCCGAACTTAGAAAGTATAGACGGATCCAATAATTTGTGCTGGTCAAACATTTCATACATGAGAAAATCCACGTAGGTCAACTAGAAATAATAATATTTGTTACTAACGACACCCCAAATTCCAAATATATATTTCTATTAGCTTTTCGGGTGGAAAAAAATAAATTGTCCAAAACAACGGTCAAAATGCCACTTTGACCATTAATCGTCATTTTGCCTATACAAAACTGGTTAAATCCGGTTTTTTTTCACTTGACGAAAGTAGTTTTAACTTCCCCAAACTGTTTAAATCCTCCAAAACGAGACACTAATTTCCATATTTTTGGTAATTTATATTTTCACTACCTCATTTCCTGCGAACCAGGGCTTATCTCCAAGGAAGGCGGAGAAACGAGCCAGTTTCGGGCCGACACGTGCCGGGTACTCCTTTTTAACCGTGTCCTAATTAGATATGAAATTATATAAGTGAATTAAAAATTAATTGGTCACAATTTACATAAAATATAAATTTAATGTCTAGTTACGAAATTTTTGTCGTAGCACATCTCCACAAATGGTCCACAAAAATCCTTCCATTCTGCCTCCATCAAATCCACGCGACGTTTCTCATCGTCACTTTGTCCACCAAGATTTGTCTTTCTAGCGAGGTGACGAATAATTGCGGTAGTTTGCGTCAGTTTGACATCACCATCGACTAACCATGGCAGCTGAATATTTTATGATAAAAAATTAATCGAATGCAGTGTTTCGGGTGAAAGTAACCACTTGCAAGAAACCGATGGGAGAAAGTGGTTTTTTTCACCTTTCCTTACCCGCAACAAACACCAGGGTGCAAGAAACTCTGCTCGTTTTTATGGCTGATAATGCGCGTCGCTAGAGTTTCTTGCACATTCTTGCATTTCTTGCGGGTCTGGTGTCTTGCATTTCTTGCAGTGCAGTGCAAGAAATGCAAGAACCAACAGGAAACGAAACACTGGTCGAATTTTTACTATAACTATTTTTTTTAAACTTTCCTACATTTGGGAAATCAAATCCGAGTGATTCTTTCACACCGTACCAACACATTTTGTCAACCACGGGATCCTTGCCGGTCATGGAGTACAATTTGTCTTCCCATTCAAGACCGGCATACTCCATGAGAAGGCGGATCGGTTGGGCCAACTGAAACATAATTGGATCGTCTTAGATAAGCTCTTCTTTCCAAAATAATTCGATTTAAAACATCAGGCAGTTTGTGCAATTGCGTTGTTTGAATTTGCATACTTCCGTATCTCTTGGAAGTGATCAAAATTTTCAAAATGAATATTAAAAATGTAATGACTAACCACAACTACAAGTTACAAATTTGTTCCTAAAATTTTGGCCACCCTCAAGAAGTTCGGAGCGTTACGGAAATTCAAAAAGTATTCAAATTGCCTATTAAACTAATACGGTCACCTTTGGTCAGAGTGGTATGGTGGGGCGACTGTGGTATGCACATTTTCGTTAGATAACCTCAAATTTAAAAAAAAATAAAAAAATATGTTCATAATAATCCTTGCATGTTTTGATTAACCTAATCCGACCACACTGACCCCGGGCGACCCTTAATGAGTTATTACCCCACGTATGTCCCAGTATCCCAAGATGATAGGTGCCATACCAATCTCACACAATAATTTGTAGTAATTTTAGGAAACGAATGTTAATTAACGTTATTGGGTCTCTGCATGGAGGAGTGACGGCAAACTGACTAAACTCCACGTCGTCACGCCACGATTTATGTAAGCGAACGGATTTGTTGTGTAAGTGGAACGTACGTATGGATATGGAGTGGAGTGTTTTATCTGTACTCTAATCCTACATAGATATAATTATTATGCACATATCCGTGACACATTTCAGCGACATATCAAGGTTAAAATCAATATCATTCTTACTTATTATTATCCCAGTGAGAGTGTGTGAGTGAGTCTGCATCATTCTGGTAGGCATGGTGATGATGGGCGGAGTTCTTATGAAACATTTTTAGTAACACATTTTAGATATTTGTATGCTTGCTTGTAATCAGACTGTTGCACTTGTATTTTCTCGTTCGTTGAATAGGCAACGCTAGGAAGTGTTCATCGTTGGTTTATTTTTTTACGGTTTAAACTGTAAGTGCCATTTTATGGGGGCAGTCAAATGTGACATATTTTGTCAAAGAAGTTGGTGTCTCCGACCCTGACTCAGTGGGAGGGGTAAAAATCCGACATTTTGAAAAAATTATTTATTTTTAAAAATTCCAATATTGGTGTCATTTTGAAGATAAAATTAAATAGAAGATAAGTTGTCATAGAAATATCCTTTGAACACGCCCCCTTCGTCCAGTGAGTGGGGTTTAAGATTAAAAATTAAAAAAAATAATCTTCAACCACGCCCACTAGGCGAGTAGGAGGTCTGAGACACCAAGTTCTTTAATAATTTATATTCTATTTAATTTTATCTTCAAAATGACACCAATATTGGAATTTTTAAAAATAAATAATTTTTTCAAAATGTCGGATTTTTACCCCTCCCACTGAGTCAGGGTCGGAGACACCAACTTCTTTGACAAAATATGTCACATTTGACTGCCCCCATAAAATGGCACTTACAGTTTAAACCGTAAAAAAATAAACCAACGATGAACACTTCCTAGCGTTGCCTATTCAACGAACGAGAAAATACAAGTGCAACAGTCTGCTTGTAATACATCACAAGCACTCTCTTTTTTACACTAAAACATTTTATGCTTTAGCACGGCTTACATAAGATATGTTCATCACTTATATAGAGACTACTAACACCCCGAACACTAAGTACAAGCCTACCACGGCTTGGACAGATAATAAAATACACTAAAACAGTCACCAAAACAGTTAGCTATGTAGTGGCGGGAAGAGTTTCTTGTACCATTCCGTTTCTTGCGGGTAAAAATAGGTTTTTTGTAAGAGTGTAGAAAAAAAAATTTTGAACATAAGAGACCTCGACTGGGTTATGAAAGTAAAAATTTTGTGATGCGTTTAATTCCTTTTCAAAAATTTATCACAAATTTATCAAAAATTCCGTCAATTTTCGAAAACTTTGTTTCAAGTTTTTCGTTAGCTCCATTTCAAAATTTCAGAACATTTCTGATCGAATTGAAACAATTTAATATAACCCAAGAAGAGTCAGCCGTGGATGATATGTATGGGCGTGGCTATCGTTTCAATATAAATATGACCCAAAGTCACGAAGGGGTCTTCTGGTTCTGGGCGTTTCATTTACTTCTAGAGGATAAAGCACGCTCTAAAAGTAATTAGTTTAATGGATTTGCCACCAACTTTTATGTACTACTCTCGCGAGCCTGCCTTGCAAAGTTTCATACCCTTGGAAATCCTGAGTCGCAATTTACGCCACCACTTGAACCTATGCGGATATCTTATTTTCCGAACACTGTCCAGAGTTGCCCTACTGTACATAGTATAGACCTCTTAATGGGTGCGGTAATTGCTTCCCGTCTTTTCATCATGTCCCTCCCGCTCCACTTTTTATATGCCTATCCACCCGAGGGAAGTGAGGGATGCTCCGCCTGGAAGAAACCTTCCGGCCGGTGTTGGCGTTATTGTCGAGGAAGTTCCGGCCCATGGTGCTACACTTCGCTGAGATGCAGCAAACAAAATAGGCGATGCGTGGCACTGTCGTGTGCCTCCATCAGCTGTGAAGGGGCTGCCGAATTCGCACACCGTCCCACTGGGATTCGGTGACTGTTCGTCGTGATGGAAGTCCGGCCGCTGTTGGCGGTACTGCCTGGGGGACAACGGACTGGGTAATAATAATTCTGATCTGATAATTCTGATCATAATTCTGATGTTTTTTTATCTAGACCGAAAATTTGAAGATAATGTTATTACTGCTGTTGGCACTATGCACTTCTACCGCGGAGTAGTAATTATATTGACGTTTTGTAGCCCGGGGGAAGCATATTGTTTCCAGAGAGGGTAATATTTTATAACCAGTTTGTTGATATTGTATAACCAAGGCAGAATTTAGGGTATGGGTATTTGATATCGTACGGTGACAAATTGTACAGGTAGAAGCTCATTGTGCTTACAGCGGAGAGCTGCTTGTCAAAAAATTCAACGTATCTAATTCAATGCTTCACTCTAAATCTTGTCACAGGTATAACTGCAAATCAAATAAAAATTGCGCATCTTTTACTACATGTCGAAAGAACGTCTGCAACGCGAAACAAACCGGAAAGGAAGATTGCGTCTCGGATTGCAACATTATTTCAAGTTCAGATGTTGGCCTGGAGGCCCTCAACGTGCGAAGAAGCGATTCTTTAGAATGCAAAATCTTGCTCAAAACCTCCACCGAAATGATTTCAGAGGCCGGCGAATTCATTTCTAGCCGGCAAACAGGCCTCGTCACCTGGCATTTTCGAACCACCACCCAGACACTCCAACTTGTACCCCGAGGGTCGAATCAGCTGTCCAACTCTTGCACGTTTGTCGTCATTTTCGACAACTCCTTCAGTACTCCGATCCTCACACACTGGTACATTTTCGAGCAATACTCCTTCTCCAGCAGTGTGACTTTTATACTCGTCACGCAGGTGTGTCCACCTTTGCACAACCCAAAAGCCTGGATCACATTACCTGCCCATATCTACGTCCACATCTGGAACTTCGTGACCCTAACCTTCATCAAAACCTCGAACAGGTATCGCACCGTTAGGAAAAACATTTTTGCCCATCCTGCTGCCATCGAGAACGGCCACAACGACCTTTTCGGTCAACCCGTCGAATATTTCCTATTCGATGGAACGTTGGACGAATCCTGCGCAAACACAATTCGCCGAAGCAACAAATTCAGCTTTGCCATATCCGACCGATCCTGTGACCCAAGAAAGCTCGAATTTCTCTTTCTACGCACCCACTTCAACTTCACGCTTGCCTTACGCGACTCCGGAATATCTCGACGGGGCGAATTCTCCCCTCGAATTGTATCCATGGTCCGCTACACGGTCGACTATGCGAGCGACGAAGTCGCGGCTATGGTCTTGGAAAGCGAGCTCCGCGGCGGCATCATTTACTGTAAGAAGCACTTCATCTTCGGAACGGCAAACGCCACTATGGCAGTATGGATATCGCCCTTCGACACCATCATGTGGATCCTCATCATCGCCATGCTGCCAGTCCTAGGATTGAACGGGATATCCTTAGAGACGCTAGCATCTCCATGGAAGACGGGGAAACGTTTCGTGTATCAAATCTATATCGTTTTCTCGATCCTCCTCCGAAACGGGGTTCGTGACTATAGGGCAAAAATGTGTTTGTTCGGCCTCCTATCTCAGCTGATTCCGTGCCTCTATGAATCCCTGATCACGGGGAAACTCATCGTTCCTGAGGGTCCAAAACCTTTCGATGGCATTGTCGATTTCGTGAGAAACTCGTATACCATTCGATATGATGTAACATCGTATGATAACGACCTTATCCGATATGATCCCAGTATGATCGAGGTCTTTAGAAAGGCTGGAATCCTGGATAAAATTGACACCGCGTTTGACTACATCCCTATGGATTTGGTGAACCGTTTCGAAATTTACAGGTTGGCCGCAAATCTACCAGACGAGAAGGAGAGGAACGCTTACTATGCTGCAATCAGGGCTGAGGCGCAGAACAGTTTGAGGGAGGAACTTGAAATTTTGGTCCGACACAAGGTAGAGGATAATCGATTTTACTGTCATATTTACGGAGTTGGGGATATCCTCCGATTTTACTGGTTCTTCTTCCTGCCAAATACGAATTTCGTGCTGCGAGCTCACAATTTGATACAACAGGCGGGAATTTATAGGATGTGGGAGGGTATGTGGGAGAATTATGAGAAACTGGTCCTGGCTGGGAAAAAGTTTGGATGGGGGGTGGATCCGAGTCAGAGAAGGACGCCCGAGACGACCATTCATGTCCTCGGATTGGATAATTTAACAACGTTCTTCGTCATTTGGGGATTTCTCCTACTATTTCCGACTGGCGCGTTCGTGGGAGAAATTTTTTATTACTTAGTTAAACTATTATTTAATTACTTTACTTAATTCTCTCTCTCTTTTAGAACCACTCTAGGTTCATAAATATATACGTAAATGTACAAGAGTTAAATATGGATAATCTGCAAATTATATTGAGTTAAATGTTTTTATTAGTGTAGTATACAAATATTTATTTGAAGAATGATTTAATACTGGATGCGTAATTTTATATGTATTTAAGTATGGAGAGAAGCTGTATTTCTTATTTTTATCTCTGCTGATAAATCTAAATTGGTATCTCTAAAATTACTAAGTTTTTAATCTACACTATTGCTCAAATTCAACCTCCCAGTTTATAAATATTTAAATAGCTTCGCAGTTCTGTTGGTGGGGCTTTTAAAATTATTTATGCATAACATAAAACTGGTAGCACGAAAACTCGTGCTTGTCGAGTATCCACTTACCCAATTGTTTTATATAATAACGTATTTTATACTGCGTTCTTCTCTTCTGACAATAGTGAACTTTCCATAGCCAAAATTGGTTGGGCAAAAACTATTGACTTATTCAAGCTGGTTAGTTCGAATCCTACCATAGGTCACACCTATTTGCACGTTTCGTTTTAAATTTTTTCGTCTAGTTTTAAAATTATCGGGTTAAACCAACATTCAATATGGTGTTTTTTATCAACAGTTCTGCCGTAAGAAGAAGAATTATCTATAGAAAATTTTTACATGGAACAATTTCCGCACGACGCTGCAGCGGACCGATATTAGGCCTTGCGCCGTAGCCGATGCAAATCCGGTAGGCGTGGAGCTATGATTCTTATGCGATTAGTCAGATTGTACCTGACTTCTTGCACTGCAAAGCAAAGAATGCGAGAAACAGAACGCCATTTATAACGTGGCATATGAACTCACCAAAATAAATTCCTACCTCGTATTCACGACCTTAGATCTGATGAGGTTTGATGTCCTCAGTTCTCATCAGGACCAATTTCGTCCTCAAACCTCATGAGGGCGCCGATGTGTATGACTAACACGCCTTCCTAACACGACATAACGTGTATCATGCACTGCTTTAAGAGTGCAAGGAAAATAAAAACTATCAATTATTCATAAGTTTCAGCTAAAAATATTATTTTATTTAGCTGGACGCCATTTCGTCTAAATATGTTAAATGTTAGGACACTTTCCTTTGCGTGGTAACTAAATTATTTATAATAACTTACAAATATTATAAGGCTACACTTTGCCTTATACTGGTTATTTATTTTATTTGAATATTATTGCCCTTTTCCCAAGTGTCCATTCCTATTCCAAAAAAATTAAGTGTTAACAAGAGCACCCGATTAGCTCCGAGCATCGAAATTTCAGCCAGAATTTCAAATCCGTTTAATACAGATAATGTTGAAATAAATTTCAAATCCAGTATTCTAGATAGTTATCTTCTTCAGTAACCATCAATTAGCCTTTTAGCCGGCAATTAGCCTCCAATGCGCTACCTGTGCGGGTTAGGCTATCTGCGTTAATGTCTAATCGACCCACCTCACACACTTACTAGCTTACCTTATCTCATTACCACGACGCCGATTATCAATTCGATAAATTCTCCTGAGAGTACCCTATCTCCAACTTCGATAGACTTTACCATGTCCCTACACACCTGGATGGTATTACCCTTCACCATACTTTGTACAAGATGTGCGTTCTCCGAGTCAGGAACCGTTTTACGTGACGTCTTTTCCGAAGCTGATATAACCATCATTTTCACCCCAGAGTATCACCACTTGTTCGACGAGGAAGCTTGCTTCTCTTATTTTCACATTGTTCGCGAGATTAATTTATACACACCGATTCGTGCCATCATCCTGACAAAGGATGATTTCGATGACCCCATAAGTTCCACCAGTTTGACAATCCACCGTTACCGCGCTACAGAAAAGTCGGCCCGATACAAAACTATGTTCGTCAAACTGGACTGGAGGATGGGGCTACTGCCAGGGGGTCGTAAATGTGAGTACCTCGTGCATATTGGTGACGCTGTCCTGCAACAAGAATACGTATTTGGTCAGATTGATCGTTCCCGAGATACGGCATGCTTAAGAAGGCACGCCGCTCTCTTTCGCAGTAAAAACTGATCTTGTTTGAGGATATCGTCACATCGTCCATCTTGATTCCATGTTTGACGTGTAGGCCGATAGAATATTTGCAAGTGGGTGGTGGGAATATAATCTCGCTCCGAGGAATTCAGCAAGTTTGGGACGTTCAAAATAGGGACATGCAAAACTACCTGGCCCTCACAGCAGATAATGTGAACGCCACGTGTGGTTTGGGATACGGCGGGTTCGTAAATCTAATGTTGGAAGGCTTCTGTCCTGTAGCAACAATTGCGGAAAAGTATAACTTAACGTTAGAGAAGTACAACACCAGTAGGGGCGACCAGTTTGGCGATAGATCTTTTGGAATCGTGATAACGACATTTATGGAGATTACAGAGTTAGATGATAGACATTTCATGTATGGACTCCACTTGGTTCCGGTACATTTTGTGGCAGTTACCAAACCTGCCGCCCCGGGGAGTGGAATGGAGACTTTTTTCACCATCTTTGACTCAGAGACTTGGACGGGAGTATTGCTTATTGTTACCTCGGTGGCAGGGTATTTGTCGTGGCTTCAGTTTAAGTGCGACTGGTTTGAAATGTTCTTACCCACGGTGATCACGGTATTGTCAATCTTGCTCGGGCAGGTGGGCGATAGTGCGGGGAAAGGGTATCAGAAAATGAAAGTGGCTTTGATTATTGTAATCTTATGGTTTTTTTTGGATATTTCCTCCTCATGGCGAATTTGTATCAGGGATCGATCTATTCACGTTTGGCGGTCCTCTACCCGCCCCCTTCTCCAAGTGGGTTTAAGGATCTCATCAACTGGGACAACTGGCCAGTCGTGGCGAAGGACATAAATTTCATTGACGCGAATGGATCACGCCATTCAGTCCTACTTAAGTTCATTTTGCCACAATTACTGCAAAGTAACGATAAAAATTTGAAATTTGCTTAATTTTTGAGAAAATTTCAGGCAAAGGTTTTGTCCTATACGGATCTCTCTGTGAAGGATATGGTAGATAGAAATCTGGAGCCGGCATCGCATCGGAAATCAATAATTTTAATGATTGGCAACGACGAGACAGGACTACCGGAGACATTAGCAATGAATAGAGAAGGCCTCCGCATAGTGAGAAACAGGGACGAGTCACCGTTTACTAGTTTACTGGTAGTTGTCGGTAGTAAGACGTTGCTCAGCCCGTATTTCGCAAAATAGTGGGGGCGCCTGCAAGAATGCGGCCTGAATGCAATGTGGGAGAGGTTGTTAAAAATTAGCTTAACGCTTCGTCAAGTGAAGGGGAGTGGGATAAAGGAACGGTATTTTAGAACGGTTCAACTCCTCCTCTGGAGGATTAGTCAGCCGGCAACGTTGCATGAATCTATTCCTGTCTCGCTGGAAGTAATCAGACCAATCTTTGCGATCTGTGGGGTTGTGGTTGGGTTTGGTGTGATTGGGTTTTTGGTGGAAAATAGGAGCGTTGTTGGAAAGGGGTTGGCAAATATTTGTAGATTTATGGAGGGCCTCAATGAAATTTGGCTGCCTTTGCGAAAGATATTTAATACAAGAAGATAAGTGAAAGCTGTAATTTCGTAGAAAAGTCTCATGTGTATTGTTGGAATGGGAATGAAAATTGTAGCTTTAACATGGGAAATGGGAGAAATTTATTTATCACTTTTGTTTTTACCGGTTTAGCGTAATACCACATCATCAAGCTCCAAGAATGACAATGCAAAAAACTTTTTTTAAAAGTTAGCCTAGTAAGATTTAATTGAAATTTTTGAAAAATATTACGGTCATTAACATCGGCAATTGGAAATGGAAAAATATTAAACCATTTCCGTAATCCCTAGAAACTATATATGTATCACACTTTTCACAGCACCTTGAATAGTGAGGTTCTCGTTCTCCTATTTTTTAAGATCATGCTATGCAATGATAAAGCTATGCAAGGATTATGTTATATAAGGATTTGCGATGTACGGATAATGCTATGTAATGATAAAACCATGTAAGGATAATGCGGTGTAATGGCTAATTAAAAAATTGCAATGTAAAAATTTTCATGAAATGATTGCCATGTTCGGGCCGCATACCAAATGGATTAAATGCGTCACATACAATTTTCATGCAATTAGTATTGAGATAATTGTTTTGAGATTTCAACAAGCTCAGAAACTTTAAAAGTATAAAAAACATTCAAATAAATATTTATGATACACATTACCGAATTACTTAAGATATTTAAACTCAACAGTCGGTTTGCAGTTTGAATTATTCATAAAGTATAATCATAATAAGATTCTGATAAAAATGTACGGACTTCCCATATAGATATGAATTTCAAATGATCATTAAAAAGCACTTTACTAAAATCTTAATTGCCAGTTAGGATAGGTACAAAACCTGTAAGAATTTCCATAACCCCCACCATTGCGCTTCATACGGTAATAAAATTTCATTCCGATTGAATAGTTCTGTTCGAAAGATGACAAACCAAAAGTATCGTACCCGATTCTCCATATTACTATTCCTTTTGTTTATAACTGTTTTCAACACTTCGTCCGCCGATGTGCATGAAATTCAGGTATTCAGAGACAAAAATTAGTTTTTCACCGAACTTTACAACCGATCAAAACGAAAGTTTATTTTTTTAATTTTTTTCCAGTCTTCTGACGACTATTTCGACTTTATGGGCCGTGAACTCGTCGTTTTTACGTTCAGCGCTCCTTGGTGTGGACCATGTAGGCAGTTTTCACCCCAATTGTCAGGACTCGCCACAAAATATAGTGGTCAGGTTGACTTTGCCACTGTAGATATTGAAAACGTGCCTACAGTTGCAACAAATATAGCAGAATTACCAACAATTCTAGTTTTCAAAAATGGATCGAGGGTAAATTATTAATTAGTTTGTGAGAGTGATTGTAGCCTTGTGCAATATTCTGCTAATTATTTCGATAACATAAACAGGTGGCCGGATTTGTTGGAGCAGATATTCAGCGATTACACGCCGCAATTCGAAAGCAATTGGAAGAATAAATTTTCTGATTCAATCGTAGATATAGACATGAATTGTCATGTAATATTCAAATATAATTAATAAAGCATTATGTATTGAATTATTATTAACAAGATTATTTTTCGGTCAAGTACCAACGTGGCACCTAACCCGACCGTGTAAAAGTTTACTTATTTCTCTAACATTTAATATTATGTAGTCATGATATTTGCCAAAACTTTCTTACTCACTAAATATCATGGGCATTCGATATACATACATTAGGGAGGAATGAACACGGTGAAAGGGGAAGGAGTAAAGTTATTCCATCACTTTCTCCTGCTTTATACTTTCCCATGTCCTTGTACAAGATCCGGGTAAACTTTAAGTAGTCGTGGAAGGAGATGATGTCTCTCTCGCTATCCCTCCGCTTTTCACCCGATCTATACAATCGGATTGAGAAAATCGATAAAACTCATCAGAATCCCACCAAGTGGGAGAAAGTGTCCCGTGAACAGACTCCTTTCTCCACTACTTAAGCTCTTTTTCAGTTATTTATTTATTCATCCACCAACATTTTTCTAATTTATTCTGGAAGGACAATTCTCTTTATTTTTTGGACGATCTGCTATTTATTTCGTCTATTTTCTATAGAACCTAAAAAATAGTCTAAACCTGAGGTAGAGCTAATTTTCTTTATGACCTTAAAGTCTACTAAGAAAAAATAAATAAAGAAAAAACTAAAAATTATAGTAACGACCAATAATTTAAGCCACAGGGGTAGAAAAATAAAATTCATAGGAAATAAATAAACTCTAAGCCACCCGCCAGCCAAAACTGACATAAAAATTAAAAATGTTATCGGAATTAATATATTAATTCTCTCAGCTAAAATTAAAAGATACCGGTTACCCATGTTATTAAAGAAAGAAAAATACAAAAGGCGAACGGAGTACGTTAATGTAAACAATGTAGATAAAACTATTAAGCATCCCATAATTAAATTTATTTTCCCTTGAAAAAAAAATTCAATAATTATGTCCCTAGAAAAAAATCCTGATAAAAAAATAAATTCGTCTATTTTCGTCTATTTTTGGATAATAAAATAATGGAGATTATTTACAGGGATATAACAGAATTTGCGGAGTTAGTTAGCTTGGTTAAATAGGAATATTTGTGGTTATAATAGGACTAATATCCTATGCCGGAATCTAGTGAAGTTGAGCACGTAGGCAAGTCCGGAAGTAGAAGTTGTAGTCTGGTGGAGGAGGATAACGTAAGTATTTTATTCATAAATAAATATATAGGAATGCAATTTAATTTCCAAATTAATTTTCATTTTTAAAGATATTAAAATTAAACTCTTCATTCTAGCGTAATTAAAGATGACGAGAAATTAAAAATTTCAAAATAAATAATTAAAACAGCTCCAAAAATTAATCAAGTTTTTTTTTGCTATATGTAGGTTTATAGATTTGTTCAACTCTTTGGGTCACGGTCAGCCACACATAATAAGGAATGGTACGAGATTTCACGCTGGGTTAAGTATGAACAAGACCTGGATGAGATTGGACGTCTCGGCCCCCCACACGTGGCTCCCATGTCGTACTGTTTTACTTCTAAATTGCTCCGTTTAATAAAAAATAGATGTAAGTATGCCGATACTATTTAATTTAATTTATTTATTTTACTAATGTGATCAATACTTATAAATAAATAATGGCTATTAATCGATCACTGCTCCTCCGATATTACAGGTGTACTCTTGCTCGACCCACCAGACGCCGAACTACCCACCATATTTCGAAACTTGGTGGATGAACTTCTCGTCAAACAACTTGCCGAGGGTGCCGAACTGGATGACATATTCCAAGACTTGCTACTATTCGTAAAACCAGAAAGTACACTTCAAGGCAGGAAAGGATCCACTGCTACTAGAATTCGAAGGGATTCGGTAAGTGTCTCCTCCCCTCTCTTTTTTGCTATCTTGAAAAAAAACAGCTAAATTTTAGCCTGTCACCCACAGATCAGATTCCTCTCCGGTAAGGGAAAGGGGGATGAAGAGCGTGATAAATTACCGAGGAAAGACAGCATTCAAATGAGGAGACTTGTCCGCCAAAATACATCCATTCAACCCCCCAGGAGAGATAGAGTGCTCAAGAGAAGGGGGACATTTTCCGGCCTTGCAAAATTCCTGCAGGACAACGAATCTTCGTCAAAAGACGATGGAAAAAGTAGACGCCGAGTTTCTGCCCAAATTGATGACAAGGAGGGCACCCTCATCCTCTTGAGGAGGGGATGCACCACCGCGGCAATGGCTTTGGTCAGATTTTCTAACTCTGCATCGTCTGGTGGAGAAGGGGTAAAAAAATTGGCGAGGATTTCGCATATTTTTACAAGAATTTTTAAATGTAGTTGAATGTATTGTACAATTAAAAAACCATATACATAAATAGTATTTGCAAATAATTACTCTAACCCTTGATACATACGCAAATTTTAAACCAACCGTTTTATTTCAGAGTTTGAGAAATCCCTACCGTTTTCTTATTATTTTCCTCTGTCCACAAGGAATGGAAGAAGAATTTACAGAAATTGGAAGATCCCTGGGTACCTTAATAAGTGACAATGTACATAATTACTACAAATTGCCTTCTAATATAATGAAATATTTAAAATTACCACAACTTAATTTCAGAAATTTAACAAGGCCATCCTCTCTGCCCAAAATGTGGAAGGAATCCTCACCACTTTCTCCTCCTTTTTTGACCGCTGCATCATCCTACCCCCTGGAATAGGGTACACCGAAAACTTCGCCGAACTACTTCCACTCCACATTCTGCAGGAAAAGGAAATCCTAATCCTCCAGATAAGGGACAAAGATCATCGCCTATCTAGTTTCGATAGCATGGATCCAGCAATAATGCCTTTGCACACACAAACCAATGAAAATGGTGCGAATATTAATTCATTAAAATCTCCCGAAATTCGGACATCCTTTTCCCGCCATCATTATAAATTATTCGGCGGAATGATTGACGATCTCAAACAGAAGATATTATTCTACAAGTCTGACTTTGTGGATGGTTTGAACTCACAGACTCTAACGACAACAATTTTCCTCTATTTTTCCACCATCGCGCCGAACGTGACGTTCGGAGGGTTACTCGAAGAAAAAACTGCGGCCTTTATCGGCATGTCGGAAACCTTAGTGGCGGCGTCATCTTCGGGCATAATTTTTGCCCTGTTGGGCGGACAGCCGTTAAACGTGATCGCTCCAACGGGCCCCCTCCTCATTTTTGACGAACAATTGTTCCTGTTCACGGAAATGCATGGAATCGAGTTCCTCCCAGCTAGGGTCTGGATCAGTTTGTGGGTGCTGATTACCACCGTCGTGGTTACCCCGGTGGGAGGAAGTGCCGTCGTGAAATACATTTCGCGCTTCACGATCCGTTAACCGAAAATTCCGGGGAAGTAAATTCCGACGAAGGATTTGGTGGGGAAAATGAACAGAAATCAAGCTTTGTTGTCGGGCAACCCAACACGGCTCTAATGTCGGCGTACCTAATGTTTGGAACGTTTATCATTGCGTACAAACTGAAAGGGTTAAAATTAAGTAATCTCTTTCCGAAAAAGGTGAGATGAAAATTTGGAATTTTTTGGCGTACCGCGTAATTTAATAAACATAATGAGATTTGAAATCTTTGACTTCCAGATTCGCCACATTCTTTCCGATTTTTGCGTCCCGGCAGCAATAATCTTTATGGTGATAGTAGATTACAATTGTGGCGTAAAGACAACGAAAACTCAAGTTCCTTCCGGTCTTAGTCCTACCATACCGGAAAAGAGGGGTTGGGTCGTGTCACCTTTTGGGATGGAGAAACCATTCAATTATTGGATGCCGGTGATCACGATATTACCCGGGGGCCTCATTTTTCTTATTATGTTTATGACAGTGGAAATTTGCGAGTAAGGAAAAAGGAAATTTTTAAAGAACCTGGTCACTGAATTGTTTCACTTTTAATTCTCTAGGAAAATTTTACTAACTCGGGGAGGTTTTAAGAAAGGATTCGGCCTTCACTGGGATCCGATTGTGCTCGCAGTGACAAATTTGGGGTGCGGAATTTGTGGCCTTCCCTGGATGAGTGTTGCCGTGTTGAGAGCGTTCGCCCATGTTGAGGCGCTGACGGTATACTCGAAAAACAATCCGCCCGGAATGCCACCAACTATTGTGAAAATTCGGGGTATGGTGGCAGATTTTTTTTAATTTTTCTTGAAATTTCATTATTGTGGTATGACAATTTTTGTAGAGAACCGTCTCTCCGGACTGTTCATGAGTATAGCGATGGGGGCTTCGGTCTTTCTAGCGCCAGTTTTGAAACTGATACCCGTTCCGGTTTTGTTCGGGATTTTCCTCTTTATGGGAGTAACTTCTTTCAAACCTACGCAAATTTGTGATCGAATCGTGCTATTTTTCACCTCGAAGGATGCTCACCCTCAAACTGTATATGTTCGGCGGGTAATTAAAAATTCAGTTATGGGTAGCTTTAATGGCTAACTTAACTTTTTACGAATTTCAGGTCCCTCCTTGGAAAATCCACATGTACACTGCTATCCAAATAATGACCCTGGTATTCCTCTGGGTGGTTAAGTCAATTAAGGAAATTGCAATTTTCTTCCCCATAGTTTTGATGCTACTTCCCCCAATCAGGCAGTCGTTAAAATTCCTATTTACCGAGGCGGAGCTGGACGCGGTAATAATAATTAAAAATAAAAACCTTCTACTACATATATTCATATGGATTTACGCTTTGTTTTGTAGCTTGACAATGAAACCTGCCCAGTCCCTGCCCAACTAACAGTACTTTCGAGTAAACCGACAACCAATCATCAATCATGATTTGTCGTAGAATAATGAAACTGTGCAAATAATACTGTGCAAGTCATTTGTAGTCTTGGTGATAACCTCAGATGCTCACAAGCTTAGTGCTCTTAAACATATAAAATTTTCAGAAAACAATAACATCTCGTAAAATCCTGCTAACAAACACCAGACCGTAAAAAATACTATAAAATTATAAATACTCTTCCATTAAGGTCATTCCTTAATCGAATTTATGGCAGTAAAATATAAAAGATAATGACAACCGTGGGTTTAAGGAAGTATGTGAATAACAATCGTTGTAATTTGAAGCAATAAAGTGCACAATGTAAAAGACATCTTTCAAAAACAAATTTTGCTGAGTGATTTTGCTGAGTGAATTTCAGAGAAAATTGCAAAGTATATATGTTTAGCCCGCAACAGAGCAATTTTTTATTTATAGGGATAGTCCTTCCCTCGTACCAAAGAAATTTGTACAGCAGCACGAATAAATATGTAAACTACTTTTATTAAGTAGTTACATAGGTGATAATCACACATTACATCATCACAGTTAATTTATATACAAGCTTTTTTGCATACATATGTATAAATATGTATATTCCCGATATACGGAAAAGTTCCCCAGACCATCTGCCCGATTTTCTACGGGGCGTCCTTCACCGCATTGAAGAAGAAGACGGGGGGTATCAGGCCCATTGCGGTGGGGAATACGTGGCGCCGCTTCGCCGCCAAAGTCGTCGTCTCCAGGATCACACCCCAACAATTCTCCCCACAGGAGTTGGCATTAAGGGTGGGGCGGAGATTGGGGCCCACGCTGCTCGCGCGTATTGGAATCAACCCCATGAGATCCCTAAAGCGTTCCTGAAAATATAAATATTGACAAATGTCCACATGTATGCATAGAAACTTGCTGAAAGCGGTTCCGTGGTTCAAGCCAATTCTAAACCTACACCAAAACCGTGAAATACATTAAATCTAACGGAGGTTTGGGGGCTTTAAAAGTCAAGATTTATTCAGAATTATGTATTATATAGTCAAGGCATAAATCTTTATGTTTTCTGAATATGAATATATTTTCATATGTATATATATATCGTTTTAATGCAACAGTTGAGAAACCTGGATGTAATTTAGACTATTATTTATTGGTATATGTATTAAAGTTGAACAACATAATTACATCAATACTAAACGTGATCGGACTTTATAAAATAAGTCAAGAACACAAAAATGACCTTAAATGCGATGATTGTGAATATCCTTAATTTGCTCAATGTGTTCCCCATGAACCTGGGCAACAGTCCGACAACGCTTTTTCCACGCCAAAAATACACATTGACACATTTCAGGGGTGATTTTCCCACGCTCCCTTTGCAATAGTTTCCAGACCCCATAATTTTTTGCTTGGAGCTCTGTTCGACATTTTTTTTCGAATTGACTAAATCCGAAAAAGTCCAAGTGAGATATATCGGGTGACTTGACCAGGATCAGGGTATTTTTGGTGATTTTTGTGGATCGCCTGACCTTAGGGTCTTCTGTGTATCACTGACTGAAGAGGGCAGTATGAGTTTACGTCTTGAAGTGGAGATCACCAAATTTGCCATAGTCTGTGGGAAAGAGTTTTTCAATTCTTATCCCAGAAGTTGTTTTATATTATCACATGGATAGCTAGCAGAAGTTTTATTCGTGTTTGGGAAGACTTTAAATAAAACGACGACCTCACTGCCTATAATTGTGCCCACCACCATAATCTTGTAAGAAAACTTTCTCTCTCAGGGCAGACATATTTCTCAGTCTCCTCCTGACCCTTGGTTTAGCAGATCTTCCTAACCCTTTCGCAGACTTGGACATTAGACCAGCCTCATCCATTGTGACAACAAATTCAGATCTTGCATCTACCAAGTGGTCCTCATACTGGCGCCTACGGTTGGGCGTCAGATTTGCCTTTTGCGTGTCTTTCAGCACGTGAACGGACTACTTCCGGTGGATTTTCTTTGTCCAATTTTGTTTATATTATTCGGTTTACATGTTATTTTGACAAGTTGACCTGTTTTATGATGCTTCGTTGGCGAAGTGAATTTTCTTGTGCGTCAAACCATTTATTATTTAGGTTACCGTTTTTGAGGCTTTTTGAAAAGACTGATTTTTTGGAGGTATATGAAGTCCAGAATTTTTATTTTTTTATTTAATTATTAGGTAATGTATCATGTTATGAATTGAGCCCAAAGATAACTTCATATTACTGCTCTGAAGACATTTTTAGCTATCATCAACCGAGAAAAACTCTTGGAAACTATTAAAACGGATCTCTCCACTTCTGGATTTATTTTGGGAGCCATTTGTGGACAGAATTTTTTGAAATTTTTAGCATTCCTGGCAGATAAGTAAAGTAACATGTGCTCAAAAATTCAAAATTTTCCGACCCGCGGTTATCGAGATATGTGTGGGGCAACATTATTTTATAATCTCCGATCACGTTTTGTATTTCATTGTACGTTTTTTTTATTTTTTAACAAAACATCCAAAATTTATTCAATTTGAAATTATCAATTTCCATTCGCATATACATAAATATATTAATGATTAAATCGATTGGATACTATTAATTTACTAGGCTATAGCCCGTGTAAAACACGGGATCTGTTCAATTTTTTTAGGATGGATGACTATTCTGCGATCGAATCAGATCAAGACAAAGCAATTGGATGGGTGGATTGATGATAGGATTTTTCCCGTGTGGAACACGGGACGCGAAACCTTGGACCCTGAATCTGATTTGATCGTAAAATGGATGGTCATTGCTCCTTTATCCTAATCCAAGGAGTATAATTTGGTCTCGATCGGTACGGTATCAGAACGTAAAGTCCAGAAAGTCCGGAAAGTACAGAAAGTCTGGAAAGTCCAGAAACTCCGTAAAGTTCAGAAAATCCGGAAAGTACGGAAATTCAGACATAAGTCTATGGACTCTCCGATGTTTCTGTGCACTCTCTGGACTTTCTGAACTTTCTAGACTTCCCGGACTTTCTGAACTTTCTGGACTTCCCGGACTTTCTGAACTTTCTGGACTTCCCGGACTTTCTGGACTTTCTGGACTTCCCAGACTTTCGGGACTTTCCGCAGGGCTTTCTGGACTTCCCGGACTTTCTGGACTTCCTGGACTTTCTGGACTTTCCGGAAAGTCCGGGAAGTCCGGGAACTCCGGGAAGTCCAGAAAGTCCAGGAAGTCCGGAAGATCCGGGAAGTCCGGAAGGTCCGGGAAGTCCAGAAAGTCCGGGAAGCCCGGAAAGTCCAGAAAGTCCGGGAAGTCCAGAAAGTCCACTGAAACACCAGAAACCTAACCTCATAGTATATTTGAGTAAGCCGTAGCCGACGCCTCCAAATACTTGTCGCCTATCCATCAATGTTGCCGTTTGTAATACATTGAAGGGATGCGTTCCTCACAGACAGACAGACAGACAGACAGACAGAGAATGGACTAATCTTATATAAAATGGAGGCGACGTCTTCCCGACAGGACTTTACTTATTGGCCGTCAAGGGTTGGAACTAAGCCGGTGCCTGTCCTCGAAAGTCTTCTGGCCTCTTAGATTATTTATTTATTATATAATTAATATCATCACAAATTATCACATTCATTGATTATTATTTGTAATAAAACTAAAATGAAATTAAACCTAAATTATAGTTTACCATAACAACTTAAATCTAAATCTAAATGTTATTAAAATTATATATTAGTTCAATAATAAAATATGCTATACCATCATATTATTTCTAAAACTGAAACTAATCACATGCACAGAATATTATCTAGATTTATAAATGATAAATAGAAAATAACTTCCCCTACTAACCGTAATCCTAATCAGCAAAGTTGTGTCCCATCCAGTGTTCCGGGTGTGAATTACCAGACGGTAATTACCGTTAATTACCACCTGACCCTCATGTGAATAACTGTGAAATACCGTGAAAATCCAATGGGGGCATTGTGAAACACATTGTGTCATTTTATTTATCTAAATTTCTTCCGTTTTCTAAATGTTACTATTTAACATTAAGTAGGAAATGACTATTAATTACAACATTTTTAAGTGAGTAATATTAATCTGATTAAATTATTCATGTTAAATTATTAAGAATTTAATCATTTAATTAATGTTTAATTTAATTAATTTAAAACCAATAATATTACCCAAATCATATAAATTAATGAAATATCGGGCTAGATGCCTTTCAAAATGCGATAAATATGCAATTTCACAGTTTCTCCCATTTTTCCCGGTTTTTCACAGTTTTTCCCATATTTCACAGTTATTCCCACTGTGATGTGAAAAATCCAAAAAAGTGTGAATTTCCGAAACACTGGTCCCATCCATAGCCCCAGTGATGAATCTCTCCCTGAATGAAAAGACACTTAATAATTAATAATTTAATAATTTGAGCTCGTAATGAGCGGAAGATAAAATTTCCGTTACTATTTTCATTCCTTGAAATACCCTCAATTTGACTATATTGATCTCACAATGCATACTGACTTTACAACACATTTCTGACTTCACAGCACCAATTAATCAATTTTAAATAATTTTGTATCAGTAAACAGTCTTTTACTCACGAAAATATCTAGTTTTATATTTGTGAACAAAATTTGACCAATATGTGATGGCTTCTTGTGAAACCTATAAGAGTGCCGTGGGTATTACATCCTCTTTGTTGGAGAGTATATTTGACATCAGTAATCATAGATGCACCCGCTTAAATTTTGTGATAAATAAGTTTCACCCCTCCCCTACTAACTGGTAGATATAAGTATTGTCTGCCGACCCATTTTTAGTTTGATTTCCATACAAAACTTTCGATTTGTTTGGAAATCTCATTATACAAATTTTCTCCAGGATTTAATACCTGTAGTAAAATTGGAGTCAAAAAGTTATTTACTATTTTAACCCATGAAAACATACTTGCCTCAGAGGATTCTGCCCCTGAAATATTTAATTCCCAGTTCCAGTTAATTTGCTCCAGTTAACCGAGTTTTACCAAGACACATTTCTGCCGAGGTACTGCATAGACTGACAGACATACTGTCCACGCAATCGGGCGTTGAAATAAATAATTCTAATAACGACGCATAACCCTCCCGACGCCAGGTAAATATTAAATTAACGTAAACAAAGAACCACCTCAGCCAGGCTACATAAACCAAACAATCGCTTAATTTTTTCTACCCATTTTGGATGTCATGAGAGATTTTTTTGTATCATATTGCAAATGTGACAAACTTTACATATTCTTATAATAAATTAATCTTTATCTCATTGTACTACAGTAATACCTGACATAAGTAGATATTAGACTTCCTCCTTATCATTGACATCATGGTCCTCTTGAAACTGATCATTTTCCTCCTTCCTCGTCAGCTCCTCAATTGCCTTGATACAGTCAACTACTTTCTCCCCTAAAGCCAAATCTATTTCCTGACTTTCTTCATTATCTTCCCCATGGGCCCAAGTCGTCAGAGATGTCAACGCTTTCGTCGATGCGTAATCCGCCATTGGGGTTATTATTTGTTTATGCAAAACATTATTAACTTTCTCTGTCAATGAATCTATCATGGTGACAATGTGTTTGTCAATTTGACTCAGTGTAATGGATTCGTGATCTTGCGAAATTTTTTTCAGGTCGTTTTGAATAATATTTTTGTAACCTTCAAGTTCAACGCTTATCTCGTTTTCCATTAATTTTGCTGTAACAATTCCAAATTCTAATTTTTTCTCAATACATTTCTCCAACAGGGATTGTTCATCATAAGATAATTTCCATTTGCGACACAACCATTGGAACTGTATTGACCATGTAGAATTTATACGTGATTCTAAGACCGTCTGCAGCTCGTGACAAAGTTGAAATACAATTTTCCCCAGTTCCAACAAACCAGATAGGATTGATTTTACTCTGTAAATATTTAAAAGTTCTCCTCCGCCTTTTGTATTAGAGACGAAACTGTTACTTAAGGATGCGTAGACCTGATTCATCTCACTGTTGGTGGAAGATGTTACTTTTTCCAGAATAGTTTTGACATGCATTCCCAACATGTTTTGTCCCGTCATGCAATCTAGAGTATGGTAGTAGGCTAACATTCTAAATAACAAGCTATTATCAGTGATTTGTTGCTTTATTGCGCGCTCAATTTTCTCTCTTATGGCACCATTAAGGGATCTAAGGAGTATGTCCGAGCCTGAATGTGCCGCCATGTGGAGGCCTTCCCGTAACGCTTCTCGACCGATTGTTTTCACAATATCTTTCGTAATACTTGTCGCATTAACTGCAACATTTTTGGAAGTACTGGTTAGAGTTTTTGAAATTCCCTCCGTTACAACTTGTTCTACTACTTCGGAGGAAGCACACTTTACTTGTGGTGCCTTTGGCTGTATTATTTATATATGAAAGTCCTGCCGAAAGTACGGAAATTGTCATACTTATAGCTTTCTGAGTTCTATACTGTGACCATGAAAACTCTCTGGAGCGATAAGTTCTATACGCTGTGACAAAATCGGCCACCCCTTCGGTAACAAAGCCCATTCCGGCGGTACTCCCTAACCCTGTGTATATTAAAACGGAACCTATTAGTATTTGTGAGGTAGCAATTGCACACACTGCCAAAATTTTGTTCCATGGCATGAATTTTTTCTCGGTGAATGTATGCAGTAAATAAATTCCCCTATTTCTAAATTCTTGCACCGTTTGGCTCGGAATAAGTTTCGAATTGGTGAAGAAACTGTCGATGACTTCCCAACTGGAAAAATAAGGAGGCTGCACTGTTAGAACTGTAACGTTGTTAAACAATTTCGATGGCCGGAAGTTGCGTGTGCGTACAACGTTGATGAAAATGTGTCAACAACGTTGACACCAACGTGCCCCGAACATACGGTGAACGGTATAATAACGTTCCTTTCACGGTACATTTCATGACACCAACGTTCCCACAAAGTGCTACCTACGTTGCTTGAATGTTCATTCAAATGAAAAATAACTTTGCACCAACGTTATAATCTCTTTTCAATATTCTTACAATTTTATTTACTCACTCAATTTAAAATTTGTTTGCATAAATATACAATTAAGTCAATTGAATCAAAATACTAAGTTATACATAAATCCATAAGCACTAATTATAATAATTAACTACAATGCACCCTCATCACAACAAACTGGAAGACAAAGATACTCATTTTCTCCAGATAGGGGAAGTAATACAACTTTTACACTTAAATCCTTTTTACAAATTAACCGGCATCGTACAGATATGTGACTAACTACATAAATTGATAATTTCGAACTTTCGCAAGGGAAACTGAAATAATCTAATTTAGAATTAAACTTTCTTACCTCTAATTGATCAACACCTTTCAATTCATGTATAATAACTACGTCACCAGATTTTAAAATAAATGCTCGATCTCTAGGAACAGTGGATACATGACATTCTTTGTTACATGAAGTTGTAGAAATATTTGCAGCTTCATACTCGCCAACCCTTCTAATAACCTGCGCCAGGTGATTAGACCACCATTTTTCGCCCTAAGCATTCGCTTAATTGCTTGCATAAAGTTTTCAAATGGGAATGCATTTATGCCGTTCAAAGATCCGAATTTTATCGCATCATCGCTTAAATGTATTAAAGAATGGACGTTATAGACAAGAAATTCTGGCACATATAAAGTTGGGATTTTCTCAACAAATGAAACTAATAATTTTCTTGCGTACTGGTACCAGTCCCTGTTAGTTGAGAGTAAAATTCGAATAGAAATTGAAAGAAGCATAAAATGTTCATATTTTTCCTTTGTGAGAATTCCTTTCAGTACCAAAGGTCCTAAATATAAAAGAAAAGTACGATATTCAGTCGCCTTCCAATATTCTAATTCTGCTAAAGGTCGTGGCTTCCGGTTAAATTCCGAAGGAATAAATCGTTTGCACGCCAGAATTCGTTCGGAAATTTCAAGTATGTCATGTCGCCCTAGCCTATGTGGGAGTGGACCACTCCTCCAACAGGATAACAATTTCTTAGTTACTCCTAAACATACGAGGTGCATATAATCAAGCACTACATCGGACACCATTCCAATTCCTAAGGATTGTAAAGGTGAAATTCCTGTGTGGTGCAGCGTATCTAATTGAACATTAAAATCCTGATCGTGCCGCAAATTTGCATCATTTCTGTCATATATAACACGTCCTAGCCATTTCCCCTTTTGATCGCACCTATCGCAACCGTGATATGCATTAAAAGTAACGCAATTTTTAATAAAGTTTCGAGCAGGAGCATCTGCAACTATGCATTTTACAAAAACCTTTCTAAGTATACCATTAATTTCTAACCCAGTTCTAGCTAGCGACAAGCATTCTTCAACAAATGGTTCCAAAAATTCCGTCACCTTGTTTGGCTTACAGTTGTCACTGTAATAGAGCCCAACTATAAATGGCTTATTAAAGTTTAATAACGGAGTGGTAACTAAAATTGGCCAAAATTGTTTTTTACTCGATCTACTAATTGGCAAGCCATCAATTCCTACAATTAACTGGAACGAATCGAATGTATCACTGAACGAGTCTAAACTACTATAAAATTTTATCTTTTTGGCCAACCCAAAATGATAATATTTGCCACCCTCTATGTTATCAATATTATAGCTGGTGACGGTACCAAACAGTGTCTTGTGCGATTTAGGTAAAGAACAATTAGGGAAATTTGACAATAAAATGCGCAACAAATCATCCGTGGCAGTACCCGTGATATTATGTGTGATAGCCCACTTCCTTAAATCTGATTTGAGATCGGGAAGTTGATTCACGTCTTCCTCCTCATCATCACTACTAAATGGTTGATCATTATCAAATAATACGGTATCCGACCTATCATAACTAGAGGTGACTAAGTGTAAATCACCAGTATTTCTACTTTGTGACCCTAAATTGTAAGGGGTATTATAAATGTGTTCATCACACGGTTGACTATTCGACTGAGGTTCTAAATTACCACTACTATTATGTATTTCTAATTCTATTAGTTTACATGCTTCCTGGATTTTACGCCTTTTAGTTCTATCGGACGACATCACAAATTTAATTTTTTTCCTCTTCGGCTGTCTTTGGAGCTCTGGAGAATCGTAAATGATTCATGACGGACAATCTGATGCTGACATCAGTTTTCTGATCAGCGGCAAGTTTTTTGTTCTTCTTAACAGCACCTGTAAAAACAGATGACGATTTAAAATGTATGCATATATATCTCATAAATCGGTTTTTAAAGTTTCATTGAAAATAAAATACTTCATACCGGTAATACAGTAATTTACGTTTGAGTAAATTTCAAATGGCTTCTTTTCCTTCCCTTTCCCAGTAAAAGTGAAGCCAATTGCCAAGTCGTGGTCGATTATTCTGTCAAAAATCAACTTCACTGTCTGGTTAAGTGTCTCCCCTCCAATCTCAAACAGATACTGAACCTAAACCACATTTAAATACGACTCAATTAACAATAAATCTTTTGCAAAACAATTATTCTGAAAATAAATGCTCTTACAAAACTGGCTTTTTCAATTGATAATTCCAGTTGATTATCAAATTCTTGCAAACTTTGCTCAGAATGAAGTGGGAAATTGGGCAAAGAAGAAAAATCGAAATCTGGAAGCGGGGGATCAGACTCGTTTATCTTCGACGCCTCCAGATGAGCAGTAATTTTTTCCAATTTCCTTTCCAAAGATTTGAGAGTTTTTTCAATTCCAGCAATATGTTTTATTACTGTTGTTTGGAATCCTGAAATTATTAATGAAACCTAGCGTAAATATGAGACCGATTTAAGGGAAATGTGATTATCAGTATTATTTTAGTCTTACCTTGTGTTGGAACATAATCAGTTCGTAGCACTGGCGCTGACGCTGATGAAGTATTTGATGATGTGCCTGGGGTGACCTCTGTTTGACCTACGGGAGCTAGAAAATCTTCAGTTGTCACATAAATAATTTGCCGATTATTTTCCTCTTCACCGCCGACTAAAATATGTAAGGTAAAAAAGTTTTAATCGTTAGGAATTATTATTAAATAGGTCAATTTGAAGTTCACCTGTTGCTAATAAATTCGACCCCTCCACTGGGCTTGTCATATACAAGTTTGTTGGAGGAGAACTCAGCAGCGAAATTGGAAATTCATTAGTGGCTCCTGCATTATAATTATAACTTAAAAATAATACTTTGCAAATATAAAGGACTCGTATTTATGTAAACACTGTACCTGTTGCAGTAACCTCGTGCGCCCGCAAAATTGACAAACAGTTGTCGTTCTCGTGATCTGAATTTATTTTTTTGTTCTTGGAAATACGTTTGTTTGGCAAAATTGGATCGTTTTCCAGCTCGGAGGTGTCTTCAGCTTTTCTGGCTCCTTCAACAGCAGCTTTGAATGTATCTAAATATTAAAACAGAAACTTTAAATTAAAATGTATGAAATACCAGCCAATTTTATTCTTCCTACTTACCAAATTCGCCTAGAATCCTACACACACACTTTCCCCACGATGGCTGAGGGAGAGTTCGGTCACAGCGTATTTTCTTTAAATTTCCTGCATCGCAACGAGACGGCCACCAACACTCAGTGTTTCCAATCAACCAATTTGATGGAATTACATCCACAGTAATTGGATTTTCTGTGGAAAATTCAACGACGAGATAATTTTTCACCGTCATGATTGAAAAAAAACTCAGACGACCGAAGGTACAAGCATGGTTGGAATGGCGACGGTAGCGGTATGCAAGGGGCAATTTGCGTGGAGAGAACGTTGGTTCAACGTGAAAGTCACAATACTTGCAGTCGGCAATTTCATGTTACTACACTGTTAAATTTTCAGTAATAAACGTTGTACCAACGTGATTAAAACTTTAGGGCGCACTGTGAAATTTCGCAGTTAAGGAACGTTATATGAACGTTGCAATTGAAAAAATTTCACCCAGATATAACGTTCACTTTCGTCCAACGTTTCATATGTTGGTGCAATGTTGCTGTAACATACCTCTTCCGATTGGGTTGGACTTTGGTTTGCTTTATGTCCTCTTGACTTATTTTTGCCGAGTTAATCACTATTTGGGCACCTTTGTGAGATAAGTTACGAAAACGAAGGGCGAAATGGGCGAAATGTAGAGATCGAATGATGGGAAGGATTTGTTTCAAAGTTGGTTTTCTGATCCGATTGAGAGAAATGTTGACATTGGAGTGGGAAAAGATTGGACATTTTTTTTCGTGGAAAGGAATAAATTTGGATTTTATTTTGTCAAACTTTATGGATATTTTTGTTCCAATCGGGATTTCGCCTAAATGTTGCATTACTTCGGGAGAATAAACCTTATAGTTAGGAATTGTGATGCACATCTCGTCAAAATCTGATGGGATTTCTTCACCTGGGTTTTTTACACAGTAGTAACCTTCACCGGGCCCGATTTTACTAAATTTTCGTTCAAAGTTTTCAAACCTTTTGCCCACGTTTATCACAGGATTTGAAAATGTTACCAAAACTTTTTTTGGTTTTGTTTCGTGAAAGAAGTTTAAAACTTGCGGAATAACTGAGGCATCCAATTCATGAATTTCTAAATCCAGGTCCACGGTGGTAAACAATTTACAATTTTCTACGTTCCCATTTTTAATTTTTATATCAAAAACAGCCCCTTCATCACACTTGGATATGAATTCTATTGAATCTTTGCACGTGATGTAGTCCGTGGAGTGAACCATTTCGTCATCTTCTTCCTCACTATATTTAGAAATTGCAATCACTTTCTCCCCTTCGTGTAATTTTTTTGTTAACTCTTTCAATTTTGTTTCCACCTCGGATTTATTGACGCCTTTCATGCACGTGTTTGGACATACAAGTTGTATAAATTCTTGCCACGGGACACCATCGCATATCAGGGTTGGGGAATTGGGAAATTGATTTATTTGTAGGGCATCAATCGTGTCTAAGCATTGGTCACGCTCCCCGCATTCAAAGCCTGTGAGGCCATTAATTGTGAGGGTGGTGCATTGCTGCGAAATTAATTTGTGCGGCAATTTATTAGAAAAGTGGGAAATTTGTGATTTATTAAAAAATGATGGCTCGAGATTTGCTATTAATAACTTTTCCAGGTTCGCGAGACTTGTTTCTTTCACATTATCGGAAAACTTAAATTTACCCGTGTCGCAAAGATAATTGAGATTTATTCCTTTCCTCGTTTTACAATTAAAGGTTGTAATATCGATGGTGCGTAGAGATTTTAAAACAGTTTCTATCGTCCCCTCAACCAAAGTTTTAATCGATTCGAGGATGTATATCTTATCATGGATTTGTTCTCTTAAATCGGAAAATTCTACCGTTGCGTCGTTCCTCACAAGTCCGTCGGACAATTGAAGAATATCTACCTCAGACTGCACAAGTTCCAAACATTTTCTATAATTTGCTACTGCCCTTGTTTTGTAGTCAGCCGTCCACCTATCTCCCCCCAGCAGGCCGAGCTTTCCCACTAGCAAAACACTCCCGAGCAGTAGATACGCCCCTGTCGCCATTTCTGGATCCATTTCTATCGCCCGTTCCACATGTTGTGTAACCTTGTCGTAATAATTAGAGAATCTTGTCCACTTCTGCAGCACGTCGGTGGCAATGGTTAAGTGGAAGAAGGGATTGTCTATCACTCCCGTATGGATTGCTCCCCTTTGGAAGTTAAACTCTGTAGAAAGTTGAGACTGAAATGTCGAGTATTTATCAGCAACGACTTCCCTCCCAAGATTTTCCACTTGCAAGAGAAAAATGGCAAATTTTTCTGTCATTGCTTGAATTATTGTGAGTTCCTCGTGTGAATAGATGTCATGTTTGAAGAGTATTTTACTCACACAGTTTTTACGTTGAGCGAAATGTTGTCGAACTTTTGTGACAAAGCTGGAAAACTTGGAAAAGCATTCCTCCTTAAGAGCTAAATTGGAGTAGTAGTGGTTCAAGGTATTTTGCATGTTGGATAATTCGACTTGGTCCCGTAAATGCCGTATTGGGCCGGCTGGTTGTATGAATCCGTAGCAGATTAATTGCCCCGATCCACTATTTCCCTGCCGGGCAGTTCGCCCAAGACCTTGTTGCTCGAAGCGGTCGCTGTCCGGAAGATATGTAAGAATGACGTGAAGTCCTCCGTTCTCCTCAATCTCGTCATCCACCAGGATATCTGTTCCTCGAGAAGCTAAATTAGTCGTGATGAAAACCTGACCAGGATAAATGTTAGATATAAGCTTTTCCTGATCTTGGTCGTTTTGAATGTACAATCTGATCCCGTTATGGGGCAGTTTGGAGGCCAGGATTCTCTCATGAATAAACATAGCGTCCTCAATTGTCCTACAAATTACCAGAGTTCCTCTCCTCCTCTCGATTTGAGCATGTACTCCAAGAATAATTTTTGACGACCATTTTTCTCTAGTTGTTGTTGTAATGTCATCATACAAAATAAATTTCTTCTGGAAAATTTCGGGCATGTTGATGGAAATTGTGTGAAATAAGTTGGACAGAATCTCCCTGGTTTTAGGTTTTCCCAATGTGCCGGAAAAGCCTATAATATTGCATTCCCCTATTTCCTTCCCATATTTCTTAATGAGAGACAGGTTGGATAGAAAGTTTGTCGTGAGTGATTCCGGGATTAAATGGAGACCGTGCTTTCTCTGAAGTAATTGTTGCAAACCATTATTCCAAGAAGTGGAATTTTGAATTATACCAGTACTCCAGTAATCAATTGGTTTGATTTGACCGTTTTGAACCAAGTACTGCAACCTATCCCTGTAATTCTCCGCCACGGTGAAACTTTCTACCCACTTTGGTATTTGTATCGCGACATATTTGTGGAGGTGGTTTGGAATTTGAATTTTTTCAACGTCCTCAAACCCTAAAATACTTTCGGGGGTGAACATGGCCTTGAGATATGATTTAAGATGTGTTTCTAAAAATGAGGTCACGCTTTCCTCGACTTTCATGATATCCGCGTCCCCGATATCTTGCCCAGAATCGAGGTAGGAATGCAAATTTATTAACCTTGAAACCCCATCTTGTCCCAAGTGGTGAAAACAGAGTTGACCTTTACTGTCCTCCTGAAGGTCACGACCAACGTAATAAAGCGAACCATTGTGTTGTTCCGATCTGGCTGTAATTTTGGTAGCCCGATTCCACAAGACTTGAAATATAATGTAAAACAAGTCAAATCCCGGGATGTGTTCCAACAACCTGGCCAATTTAAATACATCGTCAACCAAGACGGCGTCAACTTCGTCTATTATTACGAAATCGTGTCGTCTCTCTCCCATGGTGGATAAGTCATAAAACGTGTGTCGCAATGTGTCGAACGCGAATTGGGCTGGTTCTCCATATACGATGGATTTGGCGTAACACTGCTTCGGACCCTTAGTATAAACCCTGGATTCAGCATTATGACCTGACGAAAGGCCAAATAGCTTGAAAAATTCGGCAAAATCTTTTTCGTCCCGTATCGCCTGGATGTAACCATTGGTATAAACATCGACAAACTTTCCTCGAAGGGAAATAATTGTGGCGAAGATAGCCGCAATGGCGGATTTCCCTGTCCCGGTTGAAATCTGGAATAAGATTCCATCCCTTGGTTTTGTCAGGCCGAGATATAACGCCGTGATTTGTGTAGTATTCAAGTGTTTCTCTTTTACGAGGAAATATGCTCGTTTGGCCACGGTGAGACATTCAACTACATATTTGGGGGAGGTCGCTAAATTTTGATTTTTGCCCAATATAACACTTGCTATAGACGACCATGCAGTGATGTCTGTCTTAGTCCAAGTGTTTATAAAATTGTTGCCCGAGTCTGGTACAAAGTGACTTTCAGTGTTGCCATTTGTTACGTTTTCAATAACCTTGTGAAGGTGACCGATATCTGGCTGAATTTTGGTACTTTTCAAATTTAGAGCTAACTCTTCCAAATAGGCTGTTAGATCTTTACTATCTTTACTAATCTGGGCTAAGGAATGTTTAGTAATTAATTTGTTTACGGTTATTATCCATTCGGATTCGGGTGTGGAGGATAACTCCTTTTCTATAAATGCCAAAACATCTTCTTCAAGAAATTTTGCATAATCGATAAACAGCTTTAAAGTAGAGGTGATTCTGTTTATTCCCCTGGTTTTTGAGAGGAGTTGTAAAATCGTAATAACTATTTCAAACCGACATTTCTGAGATAGCTGGAGCACCAATTTTTCCACGGTCTTCTTATCTCCTACAATTTCATCGTGAAGAAGTACCGCGATCTTTTCTTTAATCGCGTTTTCCTTAACAGCCTTCAAAACAGTGGAAATTCCCACACCATCAACTAATTTTGAAAGGTCGGGATTAATATTTTCTGTGTTGGAATGGTTTCGCATAAATGAGACTGTATCAGATAATGTAGTGAGGTCGTCATCTGCACCAAGTTTGGAAATTAATTGAGAATAAATGTCAACATTTGATCGCGTTATCATTACTTGCAAGTCCCTACTTAAGCCCATGCTGTCCATGGGGATGCAATTTTTGCACAATTTATCCTGAATGAGCTGAATGAGACTGAACTTCTGAAAGAGGTATGTTACATCGAGCTCATTGTAGGGAACAATTTTCTTCACCGTCTCCAATGTGAGTTTGAGAAATAGGTTGAGATACAATTTATCATAATTTGTGGCCTCGCAATTTTTAAGGTTAGAAAAATAATCGCGTTTAATTCCTCGTTTGAAATTTTGACAGAGAATTGGGATTAACTTCCCGGAATTTGTGATGTATTGCTTGCCTCCAGTAAACAATTGCTGACTGTGGTAGCGTAATAATGGAAAGAGCTGCTTGGATATGTCGTATTCTCCTATCTGTTTGCAAATTTGGGGATTATTCTTATCTATGGGTGATTCAGTGGGATCTGACGTGTTGTTGTAATTCAACTCAGTGACGAACGTTTGTCCATTTGTTGATTTTAATGATTGACTTTTAAGGTCAATCAACTGTAGCAGGTAATGATTTTGGGGAATTAGCACCGATTGACTTTTGAGTTTAGTAAGAATCTTCAATGCTTTTTCGTAGGTAGGATAGCCTGTATCTAGTCGTAAGATGTTTTCTATTCTGTCATAACACATATTTAGTACGGGTTTGGGAATATAATGAAACGTAAAATTTGCCTTTTCTATTTCCGAGCAAAAAGTGGAGTCGTCCTCAAGAAGAATAATTTCTGCCAAGGTAAGCAACCTTGCAATATACTCGCTTCGTTTGGACGTCGCTAGTCCCATTTTGATGACCACATTTCTAACAATTTCTTTCTCTGCCTGACAACTAGTTTTAATTCCTAATTGCAACAAAGTTAAAATTTGATATTTATTGATTTTTACACCAGGAATGTTTGATATGCATCGTAGCGCTGATTTGACACATTTGACAGACACAACATCACACTCTTTCAAAATTATTAGGCACGTATTACATAATATTTTTCCACAATTTGAATAATTGGCGCATTTGGTCAAAACGTGTAAAATATGACCCGTATCGCTTGAACCGTGGCGAATCTTGTCACACAAACATTTTACCGACCTATGTGACAACAAATTGGGAGTTATTTCCCCATACAGTAACACAAATTTGGTAAGTTTTTCATCTCTTGGAAATAGTGTAAACCACTGGATCAATAACTGGCACAATTGTGTACACAAACTTCTATTCTGCTGCAAAAGTATAATTGTTAATGAGATCAAATCATCCTGAAAACTTTTAGCAGTTTCATCATTTCCAAAACGTTTGAGGGTGTATAAATCGTAAAGTATTTCCGTCACATAAATTTCCAGCTTTGCAGCCTCCAGTTGTGGAATAGATTGACCGTTATGTACTTTGTTTGTTTGTTTGTAGTCCTTTATTCGAGTGTCAATAATTATCAGTTAGTACAAACTGGTTTTCAAATCATGACACAATAAGCTAATTCTGTATTAATAAGCAGTAAATAATTCTTAAATTTAACTAACATACGCAGATCAATATTATTAAATAGAGTAAAACGTGGTAATAAAGTATAATTTTCTTAAAGTTAATCAGTTATTACGATAAAACAGAGGAGAGTCAGGATAACAATCCGTATAATGATCAATACATAGGCACCACAAGTTTATAATTATTATCCAACACCATACTTGTCAAATAAACTATTGATAGATGTTTTTATAACATTTAAACATAGGTTGTGCGATATCTTACAATTAGTAGGCAAATTCAGTAAAGGGTTTAGAATTTTTGCTAACTTGAGTAGTAGTTTTTCATAGTTAATAGTTGTGCTAAAAATATTGTCTTTACATACAAACGCGGGTACACAATTAGGACATGACCAACTTCTGGATTGCATAACATTCAGATAGGATTCATTTGACATAGAAAGGCTACAACGATTTTTATGGAAGAAATTTTGGCAATAAACGCATTGCAGGAAGCTAACAAACCAGTCGTCGCAATCAATATCCTTCTTAAATACCACTGTGTAGATGGTTCCGTTGTGAGTAAGGGGGGTGGTCGTGTCAATAATTTCTTCCCCACAGAGGTGGCAATCGGGTCCAAGTGCTTCATTATCACCCCAATAACTGAAGTCTAGCTGGTTGTAAATTATGTTGTGGTCATCATCATCCATTCCACCTTCCAAAATGATGACGTTGGTTGTAGGGTGAGCGAGTGGGACAATTTCCTCCACCGTTTCCATTGTGTGTGAGGAGGGGGGGTGGTAATTGTGGAGGGTCAGCAGATGGGAAGCTTTAGAGAAGATCAGATCATTAGATTGAGTTCAAATATATATAAAATTGGACTCTATAACCTCAGCTACTCTCGAATGCTCGAGATTGAGCCCACAAAGTGGCAAGACAGTGGTGGGAGGTGATTTCCTTCCTATGGGGGAAGTTGTCTTCAGAGCCGTGCGTGGTATGAATCTGTGTGAGTGTGGTTGTTGTGGTTGTTGTGGGCGAGGCGTTGTGGACGATGTTGAGAAATATCAGGATCGGGGTGGGGAGGGAGGGGACAACTCCTCTTTTTTGAATCCGCATTCCAAAGTGGGTGGAAATTCCTTGGGAGGTCCAGGTATCGTTGCTGGGTGGGTTGACTGTCCCATATACGTATAAAGGTGGCCAGGTAAAATTTACCAGCTCCACACCCTTACTCGCGGGTAGTCCACACCCAGATTCCTCCAAGAAGTAGAAAAATGGGGGAGGGGTGGCGATGTGCGTACCTGGCCAGGCATAGGCGTGCCAGAAAGGCAGTTAGGGGACAGAGGTAGGTGTTTGTTTAATTGACAAAAGGAGAGTACGGCCGGTCGATTTGTGGTGGAAATTAACGTGAACGACAAGATTTAAACTGGTTGAATTACGTTTAAGTGTGTTCACATATGACTTTTAGGTAGACGGAACTATTTTTAAAAAGTGGGGGTGGTCTTTGTAATTATATTTTACAATTTTAAAAATATTCTTTCCCAAGAGCGAGAGGAAGAGCGTCCTCTCAGTTGAGCTTCCCCAACATGTTATTCCAGTTTACTTTTTTACATTATGAATTTCCAACAACTATTAGTTTTGTCGGTTAAACCAAGATACTTACTGCCTTAAATTATATCTCTATCTCTATCTATATGTACGACGAGAATGATACATTTTAATGCAATTTCTTCATCTAACCGAGTCCCCGTACGGAGCGAGTTAATCAACATTTTCATCGCTACGTTAGAAAGTCGCACCCCATTCTGAACACAGTCTAAGAGGTGTTGTACATTAAATATTTCTGCACTACAAATCAGACCGACTCGTAGGCTATAAAATTGATAAGTGTTTAGATTCTGAGTGTAATCTAAAGACAATAAAAGATCGACAAAATCGGCATGCTCGTTCATATCAGTTGTTTGGTTTAGATTGTGAGCAAAACTGGTAATTATTTTGGGAGGAATGTATCCCCCACGTTTACCAAGGGTGTAAAATATATCGTATAACTTGCTGCGAGTTTGATCCATGTCAAAATAAGTTGAAAGAGTTTGAATTAAATTTTCCGGCATGGAACGTTCCATGTGGGGATTATTAGTGACATAGTTGTGAATAATGGTGACACACGGGTCGAAAGAGTCTGTAATGTTTTCATCCTGGAGCAAGATGGTAAGTAAATGAGCTACTTTGCTTGATAAAACAAACCCTGCCTGGTTTGACAATGTGGTGAAAATATGTAGAATTTTAGCGTTAATTTCGAACCCGTAGTCAATCCCGTTTAAATCAAATTCGGACATTTTATACAAATCAACTATCCAATTTAGAAATGAATCATTTAAAATCTTTTGGTAATTGTCTTGTTCCCCACTTGTCGTGACTGATAGCAATATATTCAACAAAGCCCGAGTCAAGTATATCTCGACGTCATAAATGTAGGCATTGCTTATCAAATTTGTTATCTCGTCGACAAACTCAAAGTTAAAAACTGGTATATTTCCAGTTTTTGTCGTAAATGCAAATAGAATTTCAGCACATCTAATCTTCGTCTGGTCATTGCCACTATATTCGTTATTTAACGCCATGAATATTTGTTTGATATGTGCATCCGACAAGGTGATTTCCTGTGCAGATTCATTCATCATTTCAGCCACAATGCTCGATATGCATAAGGTGTTATCATTGCTGGAAATATTATCAATCACACTGAAGGATAAATCGGCATGAACTTCAACTTCAAGATACGAATTTAAATGCGGGGCAAGGTCAGAAAAACGTGCTACTTTACGGCCAGCACTTTGTTCCCGTAAGAGCGTAACTAATAGTGGGAGTAGCTCATTGCTAGACACATCCTGAGAATTGCATGCTGCCACTAAATACTTTATGGTAGTCAAGGAAAATTTTGGAACTACGTTTCGAGATATTCTAATAAATAATTTTACTAAACCCACCGCCACAGGGGTTTGTTGTTTTTGTGCCAATATTTTACATAAAGTTAAAATACCTCCGTCACTTATGGTAATGCGAGGTTGTGTCGGTATAGTGTTTGCTTCTTTTTCAAATTGCAGACTGTAAAATGAGAAAACATTGTCTAGGATATTGATCAGTTTTAGTAAAAAATGGTGTTGCCTTTGGCTGGAGTCATTTGCCATCTTTAACGTTGCTATTAACTGAGATACAGTCTCCCCATGGAATAAAGTTTGGACGGATTTAGACTTTTTAGATTCACACTCGATTAAGTCCAGGCTACTATTTATAACGTTGTAGAAATCTTGGCTGTCAATATTTTGCAAGGAGTGGACCAAATTGTTAAACTCGACCTTTGGCAATTGAGCGTCCTCCTGCTGAGAAAATATTTCCAAAACTATGTCTTTCAAGCCTTTCTCATTTTTAGAGTGGGTGCAGCTAAAAATTTTCCGTAATATGTCACCCTGAATTGGAGTAAAAGTGTCGGGATTTTTAAAAAATATGGTTTTGAGGCAGTGCAGAATAGCGGTGGAATGCGTTACGTTGGCCAAATTGCATTGTTTCTCCTTATGACAGACACATTCCAGCAGGTTGCATATTTTGGAGGCGTGGTCTTTGCCAATTCTCTGGGTTTTTTCCACCTCAGAAAATATCTTTAGAACAAGGCCATGCACGTACTCTCTGCTACGAAAACTAAAGTAATGGATGTGTTTAGGATTGAGATATTTTATCACTTTCTCCAAGTCAGGTATAGCAGTGGAATTCTTATTCTGAGCAGAATGCAAGATACGTAAACATTTTCCTTCCGGTGTTTGATACCAATTGGTAATGCTCTCTTTACCAGGGGTATTAAAACTGAATTTCTCCCGGTCCGTCTGATTTCGTCCCAAATTTAGTTGATTTTGTAGAGTGAGATTGGTGACGGTAGTTTTTGACGAGTGTGACGATCTTGACGATGACGTTGTTTGCTGTTTTATTTTTATTGAATCAGTGCCATGAAATAGTTTGGGTCGTGGTGTGGGTCCAAAGTCATGTTTAAGCCGACTCACTTTCTTGTCAGTTTTGATTTTAAATTTATCCCAATTATGCAACCCTTCTGTACTGTTAGTATTAAGATGAGTAATTAAATCGGTTAAATCTGACCTTAACTCGTGAAAGCCGTCATCTGGACTGGACAAGGATTAGTATTTTCGTGATCAGTTCCGATGTCAGGATGTAATGGCTGCCTTGGCTGGATGCATACGTGAGGATTTGGACAATCAAAATTCGGCTCGCGGTGGGTGTTTGAGCACTTTGTAGTAAGGATATAATTTCCTCCAGAACATAGCCGGGCAACGGGTTGAGTCGCGCAATGTGTCCCAGATATATCAAAGTCTTCCCGGTGTATTGAATAACCTGTTTGGTTTTTACTGTCGGAATTAATTGGAGAACCTTAATTAGTGCTAAAATGTAGTTATAATATTCAAATCGGCCCATTCTGTGGTACAGATCTCCGTGTCACGGCTGCATCACGACAAATGAAGAACGGAAACTTCCATGGACATAAGGGAAGTGGGTCAACGGGTTTTTCCCTGCCAAAGCGTTGTTGATGTAACGCATGAAATGTAGGTTATTCCCAGTGAATTGGACTTAATCTTTGTGCCTATTTATTTGTTCCGTAATAATATTTATTTACCAATATAAATATACATAAGATTGCTTATATATTAAACTAACCGATTCAGTGCTGCCCGTAGCACCAAGTGATGGCCTTAAGAAGGCATTTTCGCCACGACCATGGTGTCGTCAAGTAAATTTCGACAATGGCACATCCCCAGGGCGTCGTTAACCAAATACCGACACGGGCATACCCCCAGGGCGTCGACAACATAAGGTCTGTGAGTTCTTGAGTTCTTCAGAACTTGAATCTTAATCAATGCTCGGCCCCTTAGTAGTGATGACGTAACTAATGCACGCCCGCATGCGAAGCGCCGTTCCGCCAGACAGATAGACAAACAGACCGAGACTGGACAAATATTAGAGAGAATGATAAATACCTCATTGAACGGTGAATCGTTTTTGGTATCGCAGGGTTTATGTAACATGGAATATTTATATGCAAACATTGTCCTGAACGGTGATGTGGACAAAATACTGTATGACAAAATACTGTATTGTAGTAAAAAGTACGCAAATGTAAACAGAAACTCAAAGTTGGACGTTGTATATTTAAACAACGATTTATTTACTGTATCTATTTGTAGCTCAGTTTTGTTTTATCTTTTTCTACTTTCTAAATACAATGGATCTGCCCGTAAGTTACGAATTTGTCCAGAAACTTTTTCTAATTCAGAAACCAAAGCATCAAATTTTTTAGAGGGGTCAAACCATTTCAGAAAAATGCAGAACGATAATACCGCACCGGCTGTGATGGGAAGGATAAGATGCAGCATGGTTAAGTCAAGATCGCTCTTGATGCCGACCGCCAGCATTCCACCCGCTGCAGTGAAACATCCGATTACTTGCAGAATTCGGAGTAGATTCCTCCGCATGTCTGGTCGCCTTGCTTTTGACTCGTATGGTGAATAAGCATCCACATCTATAAGATATAAAGGACCGATTAGCTGAAACCCTTACCAATTAAATTACCCACGAAGTTATCAAAACAAGGTCCAGAGACCAGCTATGTGAAAGTCATGCATTAGCAAAAATGTCATTAGCAACTTTATTTTGAAGAATAAAATTACTTTGAAGTTTCTCTCATATCAACTAATATTACAATTTGGAATTTTATATGGCAAGATTGGGAATTCTTCTACCAATATATGAGATTTTTCAATATCAAGACAATGACAAAAAATGACTGTTGAGTTTTTTTGAGTTTTCTGCAAAAACTGAAGACTTAAAATTGGTCCTAATAACGATATGGCACAATTTAGGAAAATCAAGTAGTTACCAAGATCTTCTAAGACGTTGAAAGCTGTGGTCAGCAGTTGCGTCGACTTAAGAGAACCTGGATTTTCTTTAAAGTTCGATATGTCTGCAGAAAATATTGCAACTTCTTTGGTCAGCAGGGCAGTCTTTTCTGCCGCAATTGACTTAAATTTTGGTGGTGTCTTGCCATGTGCAAGCAACTTGGTCAACGAATCCTGCAGAGTCTTGGACAAAGTGAGCGTGTTATCGTAGAAAGTGTCATACTCTAAATTCTGAGACATTTTGTGATATTACTACTTTTCTCTCTGCTTTATTCGATATAAATAAAAATAAATTGTGTCGCGTTGGAGGCTAGGTGTGATATTGTACAGGATGCAGTATTTTTTTAGCGTACTATATTCAGGGTATGTAAATATATTTACGGAATGTTGGTCGTCACTGTTGATAAGCTCATGTAGGACAAATATGAACAACTTCGTGGAAACCTAAGCCAGACAGATAAATAAAACCCAAAAAGTGGAAATCTTAAATGAGGATTAAAATAAAATAAATTCCTTTTGATCTTATTTCTTCTATTTTTTCCATCTATGAGACACATATGGCATGTGGTAACTAACTACGGGCAATGCTAATTTGAGGGGGTCGTGTGCGGTCCAGTATGGCGAAAAGTTCAATTTCAAATTTTTTTGAAAATTCAAATTTTTAACCAATTTTCGAAATATACAAAATCTCTACAAAAATTTGAATTTTCAAAAAATTTAAAATTGAATTTTTATATTGTAAAGAAAGTAATTCTAAGCATACATGTTTTTGTTTTTTTGAATTAGCGCCAAAATAAGTTGTAGCGATTTGAACATTTCAAATTTTGCTTGGAAAAAGATTTGAAATTGGCGCCATGCGCTTAAATGCGCGCATTCTGGGGAAAGAAAAAATACGGGTCCACTTGTTTTTGATTGTGAGCAAATTAAACTTACAATGCAACATCGCGAAGTGTTTATCTCCAATCTTAATGAGAGTCTGATTAAGATTAATTAGTCTCATTATGAGACTAATTTTAATTTGTTCACATCCAAAAATAAGCGGACCCGTATTTTTGCTCATAAAATTTGCACATTCGGTCGATTGAAAATCATGCCAAATTGAAGGTTTTATAACCATCGGCTGCAATTTTTCTGAGCAGGTCCTCGTATTTCGGATATCCTCCAGCATAGCAGAGTGGCTCCCTAGTTTTTCCAGGAATATTGGCCCCTGATACCAAGAATCCGCTCCCGGGAACAAACTTGCTTCCCAAACATCGCGAACCTCTTTTGTCCAAGCCTCTTCGCATTCTTTCTTGGCATCGACAAATCTGCGTTTCTCATCCCTCATCCTGACCATCAGCTCGACTAACCATTCCCCTTGAATCTCAATAATCGTGGGTCCATTTCCCAGGGGGGTTGGGGCCTATTTATTTAGAATTCTGTTACTGACAGATTTTTAAAAGATCAAAAGTTGACTCGACTTGCCTGGGGGCCGTACATGTACCACAAATTAGGGAATCCGGCCGTTGTGAGGCCCAAGTAAGTGGAGGTGCCATTCGTCTTCCACATATCTCTCAAACCCTCGCCCTTTCCGTTACGGATGTCGATACTTTTGATACTTCCTGTCAAAGAGTCGAATCCTGTGGCTAGGACGATGATGTCGACTTCGACGACACCCTCTTTCTCTGTGAGAACCCCTTTCTCTGTAATTTCTAAAATAGGAGATTCCCGAACGTTAATAAGGTCCACGTTGGGCTGGTTGAAGACTTCGTAATAAGTTTGTTCAAGGTAGGGGCGTTTGATTCCGATGGCGTGGGGCGCAACTAGGGGCGCTAAGATGTCCCGTTTTAAAGGATCGTGTATCCGCGCTCGGGCCTTTTCCGCCCAGAAGGTGTAGGCATATGCGTTAGACTCCTAGAAGGGCGGGATTTATAGGAATTTAAATTTACGACGATTTTTAGAATTTATGTACCTTGTCAAATAGCATATCTTGGAAATTGGCAAGCCAAAAGGCAAACCCGCCATGGGCATAGAGCGATTCGTACAAGGCGCGTCGCTCCTCTGGAGTAACGTCAGCCGCGTTTTTTGGTTCCCAATCGAAATTGAGGCCAGAGAAAGATCTCCGAGCTACGCCGAATATTTCGGGAAACTTTGATTTTGGCGGAAACCAAGCAGCTTTGCTAGGATCGTTCGCCTTGGCCTGTTGCATAGGGAGGCAGAGATTCGGTGTGCGCTGGTAAACCGTTAAGTGGCCTACTTTTGAGCCAATTTCTTGAATTATTTGAACCGCACTGGCTCCCGTGCCGATAACGGCGACGCGCTTCCCAGAAAAGTCGACGCCAGCTTTGGGCCAGACGTAGGAATGGTGGGAGATTCCTTTGAATTTGTCCAAACCTTTGAAAGGAGGCGTGTATCTGGGGTGGGAAAAATACTGCTAAAACTAGAGAAACAAACACCAGAAAGCGCATTCGGTTACCTAGTTGTGGTAGAGCCAGTACAAAGGAAGAGATGGTTTGCCCAAGTAACTCGGCCATCATCCGTCTTGACTTGCCACTGATTCCGAGCGTTATCGAACTGAGTTGCGCTGACATTGGTGTTGTACTCAATGTCCTTGCTGAGTTGGAGCTTGTCGTCTAAATAGCGGAAGTACTCTTGAAGTTCGGGATGGGCTGGGAAGCGCTCGGTCCATGCAAAGTCCCAAAGTCCTTCCTCGTTGAATTGGTAGATGGGATTGTCCGTGTCGACCCGTGCGCCGGGATATCGGTTCCAGTACCACGTTCCGCCCATATATGTCCCTGCTTCGTAAACTTTGACGTTAAAACCTCTCTTGCGAAGGTTGTGGAGAGCGTAGATGCCAGAGAATCCGGCACCGATCACTAGTATCTCGTAGGTGTCTTGGGAGGAACCCATGCTTCAAAGTTATCTTACCTATAAAAATATTAAATACAAATTATTGTACCCAAAATTGTCATAATTATAAAATTCAATCTACCAGATAAGTTACCAAGAGGCAATTTTGTCAACTGTATGCAACCGAGTAGAAGAAGAATGGAACTGATGCTTACGAGAGCCAATCCCATGTACATATTTGCACAGAGATAGCTCAGTGTGCCGTCTCTACCGGCCAAAAGTTATTTTGACCAGTGGCCGGTAGCCATAAGTGGCTGGAAAAAATTATTATAAGCCTAAATGCTTCCCAAATTTATTCGAGCCACAAAATTTAACATACTTAATTAAAGTTTAATTCAATTTAATTAGTCCTAGCACATGTATATCAATAAATAGACCCAATAATTGCACAGTTATTTATTTATTCTACCATTTGGGAAATTTTTTGAGTCAATCCTGTCACCGAGAAGGAAGCATATTAGGATTTCCAAAGAAGAATAACTTTTGTGAATTAGATTTGAAATTATCCGTTAGATTTTCAGTAAAATAATGAATACATTCTGAATAATGTGCAAATTTTATTTTATCCAATTTTGGCCACTTTTGACCGACAACGACATGTATTTTGAAAAGAAATGGCCAGTTAAAACCGGTTACTACCACTTGAATTTATGCCACCCGGAACACTGAGTTCCGGGCAAGTTGAGTTCATGCGGCACGTGTGATAATAAAAATTAAGACAATACATAACCAAAACATAACCAAGGCTAACTGGTGGTCACTCTCGCAAAGTCGTGTCCATCCTCACTGCTCACCTGCTTGATCTTGAAATGTGTGAGTAGGCTGGATACCTTTCTTCATTTTGATCACATTTACATATTTTATTTTTATTGCAAGAATTATCACCAATGTCAAACGCTTATGTAATTTATTTCGCTGTATAGTTTAATTCAACAGGGGAACATTTGTACCTTCTAAATATGCACCTAAGGTGTAAAAGAGGATGATTGAGTAAATCAGAATGCATCAGTGTTTTTTTTTTCAGGTACATAATATTATTTTTATGCATGCATAATGCATAAAAGTGCATAAAAGGACTCCAAAAGTCATATCATTCTCATTCTATTCATACACAAGTGTTGAGATGCCCTACCCACGTTAACAAGATGAAAATTAAAACTCAAATGTTGCAAAAAATTAAATAGTTTTAACACAAAGAATATTGATTAAGAAAGTTTGGGAAATATCACTAAATTGTTTTAATGTATCAAATATGTCGAAAAAATGAGATATTAGTTCTTTATGTGCGTTTAAGTACTTTTGTGAATTTTTATGCACTTTTGTGCACTTTTTCAGATTTTGGGTGGGTGGTTTTTAACGTTTTAAAACACTTTTATGTACTAATTTTATGCAGGTGTTTTTAAATAGCAGAAAAACTGTTATGCATGACTTGAAAGAAGTACATACATAAGATCATTGAGACAGAGCGTGTTAATTTGTGTTCACAGCCGGATCAGGGCAAAACCCAGGACTTGTCCTTGTAGCTACTGACAATGCAACATAGCGAACTGTTTATGTCCAATCTTAACGAAACTAATTTTAATTTGTTCACATCCAAAAATAAGCGGACCCGTATTTTTGCTCTAGCGGTAGGTTAGGTTAGATAATGCGCGCATTTGTGCGCCTGGCGGGAGATTCGAATAATTTTCCGATTTTAAAATGGCTGTAACTTTTTTAATTTTGGCGCGAATTCAAAAAATTAAAAACACGTATTATTAGTACCTCCTATATTTAATAAAAAAAATTTTTAGAATTTCTAGAAATTTGATATTTTTTGGAGATTTGCTATTTTCCAAAATTATCAAAATTCCAAAAACCTGATAAAAATTCAAGTTTTTAAAAAATTTTGAAAATGGATTTAAAAAAATTAAAACAAGTAATTCTAAGCATACATGTTTTTAATTTTTTGATTTCGAGCCAAAATTCAAAAAGTTACAGCCATTTTAAGATCGGAAAATTCGGCTGAAAAATTATTCGAATCTCCCGCCAGGCGCTGAAATGCGCGCATTATCGCTAGAGCAAAAATACGGGTCCGCTTATTTTTGGATGTGAACAAATTAAAATTAGTTTCGTTAAGATTGGACATAAACAGTTCGCGATGTTGCATTGTGAGTATGAAATCAAGAGGCAGGTACATATTTACTTGTATATGTAATTACCCACTCATCGTCACAGTTGTCAATATCCGAACACACTGTAAAAAATCCAATTAATAAATATAAAAAAAATATAAAAACGAATTAATCAGCTAAAGCACTAATTAATAACGCAAATTAACTAGTCTGCTTACGTATAATTATGCTTAATGCTTAATGCTTAGTTATGCTTACGTATATTTAGATAACTACAAACAAGTATAAATCGTGACAATAAATTGGAGCCAGATGCAAGTTCGACCAATTTTCATGAAAATGCAAACCATAGCTTGTTTATGAAAACGCAGCATTCTCAGTTTCCCTTTTTACTCGATTAGACTCGGCTTAAGGAAAATTATACGCTTATGTATATTTGTACTCTCATCACGCGAATCCACACACTACTCGTGGAAAGATATGGCAGGAAAACATTTAAGCACCGACCAGACCTTCTGTCAGCTGCTACTCAGCCGATCTCAGTTTTTGTGCGTTAAGTGCACTAATTAATTCAAGGTGTCTTAATTTAATTTAAACCACTTTTTTCGAGTCATCGTAAATTCTACAATGTGATTTAAACATGTGTAAACTATAAATTTATCCGATTTTAATGCGAGTGTCAAAAAATATGATCATTTTTAAGTGAATCGCGATAATTGTATTGATATAAAATATTAATAAAATCCTTGAATTTTATTACAGTTCACAGGTGTGTGTATAAATATTATATATTTAATATTAATTGATTAAAACAAATTACATATTTCATTTCAGGTTTAAGAATAAAAGTAATTATAAAGCCTTGGCTTTGTAAATCCCAATTAACTGCTCAGGAGTGTTTATCTAAATTGTCATTGTTTGAACCATTTCAGGTAATATTCAGTGTCTTATCACAACTTCTGACAAATTTTATTCCGTCACACCCAACAAACTGGTACTTATGTAAAATATTTATCAAATTGCTAAACTAAAGTCTTATTGTTACCTTTCTTGTAACTTTATTATTATTGCCAAATATTTATTACAGGAAACAGGACAACATGGATCACAATTTATCTCTGTGTAATAAACAAGGTGAAATAAATTCAACCCCTTCACCTGTCCAACCTCCGATTCGACATCGGCGACGCCATCACAAACGACCCGGACGCGACGATTTAATAAAGATCCGTGAAAATTCGCCACCCCGCAATTTCCACTCCAATATTCACCCTGCCGACCTCGAACTACTAAAAACCCTTCCTCCATCGGAATTGTTATCTCAATTAGTGGTGTCCACCAACTCCATCACTACCCAAGGTCGTGAAACGCATTGTATAATCCTTGCACAGTTAACGAATCTGCTGCAGCGGAAGTTTATGAAAATAAAACTCTGCCCAGTCGTGACCAGTCTGGGCTACGACACCTCCCAGGTGGAAATCCTGGTGGAAAACTTTTCCGAAAAAGAGCTTAACAAATGTGAGATCAACACTGCTGCAAGTCAAGTCGCACAAATTCTGCGAACTTCAAATCTCACCCAAGTACGAATTGACAACGTTCAACTGTTCAGAAAAGAAGGATTTCAGTCGATACATTGTGTCGCTAGGACGACCACAATGGGTGAAGCGGATGTATTCCTATCTTTTGTAAATGTGGGGCAAGTCCAGTTATCGAGATTGGGTGACTTCTACGTAAAATTGCACCCTGTGATTGAACCTGTGGTGAAATTGGTGCAATTGTGGGCTGATTATCACCAATTTTATGAAATATCTAAGGAATGTTTAACATGGATGGTGTTAATGTATGCTGGGTATGAAGAAATCATCCCCTCAGTGGATAGAATGCAGTCGTTTCTTAAATATGAGTAGGATCAAATTAATGGTAATTTTATCAAGATTTAGCTGAATGATTTTTAATCGGATTTCTTCCTCATGCATGGACTTGCAGCAATCCTACTACTACCAGAGATTTTTGGGAATTTTTATTCCAAATTTCCAATTTTCCCCGAGTTTATATTTATTACCCTATAAGCCCAATGTTAAAATAAATTCCCTGGGAATTTTTCCAAAATCTACATACTTTCACTACCTGGGAATTATAGAACTCTAGTCATACATTAATTTTTGCAAGATGGGACGTTACCATACCACTTCAAGCTGATGCATTAAAAATCCTTTCTGAATTTCCACCAAGTATTCCAATACACTCAAGTGACGATTTTGCCACAACAGTGATGGAGATGGTTAAGGAATTCTTCCATTATTACGCCAAACTTGATTTTGAAAAAGACTTCGTTTGTACAAACACCTTACAAATTGTAAGTTTAGAGACCGTGTTGTTATACTATTTGAGGGGATTCACGTGAGGGTCGCATCGCGCCGATAATTCCCAAGTTTGTCACGGATAGAAGTTGAATTAATCTTCACGACACAAAATGCACTTGCAATGTAAAAAAAGGCATCAGCTATCGTAGCAAATTTGGTAGGTAACTAGATCTCAAACGTCGCAAAGTTGTAGCTCACGTGAATCCCTAATTGTTTCCCGTACAAGATAAATATGAAGAGTTGATACATAACTTTGCATTCATGTAGGTGTCCAAGACCGCCCTAAGAGCGGGCTCAACACCCAAACCACATGAAGAAGAAGGCGTCCTCAAATATTTGAAGTGGTTTCGTACCAAACCAAAAAACGAGAAATCACTCTTCGATAATATTCCGACCTCTTTTTGCATTCAGAATCCTCTCTGTCTCAACCTCAACTTGGGCAGAGGGGTGAGGAAGGAAATAATCACCCACTTTCAACACGTTTGTTCAACCACGTACAAACATATGGAAGGAAAACCACCAGTTATTTCTTTCTGGGATATTTTGTTCCCAATTCCGTCCACATTGATGACACGTATCCTTCCAAAAAATTATATCCCGGTCCAAGATTTGCAAAATATTGTGACCGAAGTATACACAAGTTTAAAGAAATCTTCGCCCCATGAGACCTGTGGTTGGCTCGGATTACGAATCAAACCCCCAAAAAACTTTGTGTACCAGTTTGTATTCTCCATGAACGAATTGAATATCACGCAAGTATTTGGTTTCTGGATGCTCTTTCGGAAACTTGAAGTTTTCTGGGGGACGGTGGTAGACGATTTTCTGGAAACATTTTTACAGAAATGTTTTAATACAGTGGTTACACAAAGAGACCAAAATACGGTGGAAGACAAGAGGTACCTGTTTATTTAATTTTTTAATAAATCTCCTTGAAGAAATTATTTACACAAGTTTTTAATTTAGATCAAATCCTCCCCGCAAGTCTCGCAAATACGTGGAAATTTTGTTTGCCAAGACCAACCCGGATACACTTCAATGTGCTCCGGACAAATTCCGGAGTGTAAATATGTTGTCGAAATTAAGAGTTCTTAAAAGTTTGGAAAAGTTGGCACAGCCCATTGTGGGATTCATGACTTGTACCATTCTAAAATGTACGTGCTCAACGCCAATAAAATTGGAAAGGGAGACAAATGCTGGACAATTCCTAACACCTCCTGCGAAAAGGATGGCAGTGGAAAACTCTTTGGACGGAATGTGCGAATCTTTTCACCAAACTGAAAATACTGGCGACGAGCCACTGCATTTTGAAATATTCGTCAAGATGGAGTCACATTTGGGCTACGCGTTACCTATAATCGAGGTGGTATTCAGATCGGTAAGAAAGTGGTGTGAAATTGTGAAAAAGCATAAAAAGTGAAATCAAAGTATTTTTTATCGAATTGTTACCATGCGGTTTTACTATTTAAAGTGTAGGTTAAATCTGCTAGACAATGGTGACAGCATTTTGTTCAAATTTGTTTCTCTCGGGAAAGAAAATTTATAACAAACAGAGATAAATTTGAACTTTGGGAAATTCTTGTTACCAATCTGACACAGTTTTTAAACCAATAAGATAGAGAATTACGGTGACACCGTATGGTAATAGTTCGTTAGAAAATTATTTTCGGTGTAAAATACATGAGGATTTTTTTGAAAAGGTGGATGACAAAGAGATGAAGCGTATACATGTCCTTACCGAAGCGATTTCGCAAAATTTCCCGACGTATGCGATGGAAAGACTTCGGTCGTTGTTACTATGCGAAGGCTAACCGGGTGAAGTAAGGAGAAAGTGTGCCATTAAGCAACGAATTGTTAAGATTTATCTAAAATTCAGTTTTAATAAATCCATTCATGCAAATATGTATGAGACTTATTTATCATCTATACATATTTAGAACTCAATTGTAAATTTCAAATTCCGCAAATTCTCAAATATCTATTGATCATCAAAATAAAAATTAACATAAATATTTTTCAAATATTAACGAAAAGAACGACACCAATTTTGCTTAAACTCTAAACGCCTAACCTCTTTCCGAAAATTATCACCCCAGTAACAGTAGAAGAGGAAATTAACTGAAGAGTTTATTACAATTGTCAACTGCTCCACGTAAAAACCAGAGAATGTAATGCCAAATTGAAAGTATGGGTCAAAATATTTACGCCAGGCAGTAAAAATAATATTTACTAAACTGGTAATCATTGACAAGGAAATTATTGCTATTGCCAATTTTGTGTACGCAATTTCCTTCGATTCACTCCGACTCATTTCTGCCCGTTTTTTTGCCCCCATTTGCACCTCCCGTACCAACTTAAAGTTGAAGTACGAAAGGATTACAAAAGGTAGCAGGAATCGCAAAATTCCTTGAGTTAAACTAGATAAATACGTTTTTAAAAGAAAAAGTTTTTTCGATACGGCTTGACGTTGCACGACTAAAAATGTCCCCTTCTCATCCAGGCAAAATTGTGTAGCGTATTTCCACCAAAAAGGCAGACCGTAAATAAAAACGATAAAAAAAACTGCCAAAACAAGCCACTTGATTCTTTGTTTTGTCACTGTCCTTCGTGCTTTCAGTGGATTTTGAACTACAAAAAGATATAATTTTTTAAATATTATTTAAAAATTCAGTAACTTTTGTTGTTTATAATTTTCAAATTTTTGAATAATATTGGATAAACTCACCTGAAAAAAACCTCATAAATGTCGTCAGCAACGTGAATCCGACCGATGCAGCGTGAGCTAATATCGTAAGTATTTAAATATATAATTTAATGGTTTTCTTCAATTATTAATCTTGATACCTGTAACCATGACGGGGGCAACGTAGGGAAATATCATTGTCTGATAATAGTTAACACTGGGAGCGAACGAGGCATTAAAAATGATTTTAATTGTCAATTCAATTGTTCCATGGTAAAGTAACTTGGACACAATAAACACCAAGTCTGAGAAGGATAACCCCATTAAGACGATGTTTGTTTGTTTGTATTTGTTTGTAAGCCTTTATTCGAGTGTCAATAATTATCAGTTAGTACAAACTGGTTTACAAATCATGACACCATAAGCTAATACTGTATAAATAAGCAATAAATAATTCTTAAATTTAACTAAACATACGCAGATCAATACTATTAAATAAAACGTGGTAGTAAAGTATAATTTTCCTCCCAGTTATTCAGTTATTACGATAAAACAGAGGAGAGTCAGGATAACAAGCCGTATAATGATCAATATATAAGCACCATGAATTTGCAATTATTATCCAACACCATACTTGTCAAACAAACTATTGATAGCTGTCATTATAACATTTGAACATAAGTTGTGCGATATCTTACAATTAGTAGGTAAGTTGAGTAAGGGGTTTAGAATCTTAGCTAGCTTGAGTAGTAGTTTTTCATAATCAATAGTTGCGTTAAAAATATTGTCTTTACATACAAACGCGGGTACACAATTAGGACATGACCAACTTTTGGATTGCATAATATTAAGATAGGATTCATTTGCCATAGAAAGGTTACAACGGTTTTTGTGGAAGAAATTTTGGCAATACACGCATTGCAGGAAGCTAACAATCCAGTTGTCGCATTCAATATCCTTCTTAAATATTATTGTGTAGATGGTTCCGTTGTGAGTGAGGGGGGTGGTCGTGTCAATAATTTCTTCGCCACAGAGGTGGCAATCGGGTCCAAGTGCTTCATTATCACCCCAATGACTGAAGTCGAGCTGGTTGTAAATTTTGTTGTGGTCATCATCAGCCATTCCACCTTCCACAATGATGACGTTGGTTGTAGGGTGAGCGAGTGGGACAATTTCCTCGACCGTTTTCATTGTGTGTGAGGAGGGGGGGGGGTAATTGTGGAGGGTCAGCAGATGGGAAGCTTTAGAGAAGATCAGATCATTAGATTGAGTTCAAATGTATAAAAAATTGGACTCTATAACCTCAGCTACTCTCGAATGCTCGAGATTGAGCCCACAAAGTGGCAAGACAGTGGTGGGAGGAGATTTCCTTCCTATGGGGGAAGTTGTCTTCAGGGCCGTGCGTGGTATGAATGGCCCTTATTTGTGTTCCTCCGCTGCTGGCCCTTGTGTTGCAGTATGGTTGGGAGAGTCTATTTCCAATGGGCGGGGGTGATTTCGGGACCCGAGGAGAGGTTCGGTGGTGACCAAGAAAGCGGTCAAGACGGTCACTTTTGTCACTTTTTCGACTTGCACTGTTGTTAATGGACTATGTGCGGAACGTGCACTACTCCGCGAAGTGGGGGGTCACCGATTTATTTCAAAACTTTGATGTAAAAATTTATTAGTGTGGCAGAGAGAGTGGTGACGTGCTCTCTCTCTAAAGTTCCATCCAAATATCCATAATATGTTAAATGGCGTTTCTCTCATTGAAGGACGGGATAGGACAAGCATACAGAAAATGTTGGCAACAATGCCGAACAAACTGATTGCAATTAGTGTGAGACAGAAGGACGCAGCCACCAAGGGATATCTTTCGTACCCCTGTATAAATCCTGAGGTAATGGAGCAAGTATAATTTTTACTGCTGGCTGTAAGATTAGTTGTCTCTACGTATGAAATTTAAAGATTTAAATAAATTATATCATGTGTATTTGAAAGTAATGTGCATATTCTAACGGAGAATTGTTGAATCCATTTCCCAAGTAAAAAAAATTCCAAAATTGTTTGTATCTTGGTTTCCAAGAATAATCGCAATGTTAGTTCAAAGCCCGAAAAGGTATTGCTCAGGTTTATTTGCGGGAGTCTAAGGATGATAATTTTTCTTCATGACAAAACCACAACATCCTGATTTCTCGGTATTGACGCATTATTATATGTGGTGACAATTTCCTGTAAAATTATAACGTCATTTAAACTTACAAAGGAATGGGCAAACCGCACGACGTAGGTATGTAGGCTTGACCAGGGCAGCGGAAGGAAGCATCCGGTGGTGAGAAGAGTTATTTCTATAATTTTACACATTAATACAAGATAAAAAATAGTATTTTATTTAGTATTTTGACAAACGCTAAAATTAGAAAGTATTTTGCCTACTAAATAGTTTGTATTTTGTGAAAAAAGTATTTTCTATTTAGCATCTACTATTTTCATGGATGTTCATTGGATAAAATAATTTGAAATACTTGACAAACTACAAAATAGTTTTAAAACATCTGGCGGGCAACGGTTTTTTGAATTTGTCCCACTTCATTTAATTTCGAAAAGAATAAGATGACGATTGTCTCGAAATTATTGATAATTAGTGCAAGTGCACTGTCAGAATTTTACCTATATGAAGACATGATTGAAAAAGTGTGGCCAAATTGCTGCGTAGCTGTAAAGAGCGAGCTGCTCTGCTGCTCTCCACAGAAAAGCCATTCATACAGAAGGCCGATTCCCATGCTGTGGGATCGCGGAACCTCACCCACTGGAAACTATCCACGCGTCCTACCCGGTCGCGAGAAGTCGCCGTATGTTGACTGTGCCGTGTTACAGTTCGAGTTTGATGAAGGGGATGATTACTACTTCTTCTCACTAACAATGCTCGGGTCAATTACAAACTTTAAAATAAACCTCTTTTACTACAAAACCAGGACTTTCTCTTTAACACAAGTTATTGACAGGCAATCACACTTCTCAAACAATTCACAAAATCAATTCCCACAAAATAATTCCCAAGTATTTAAACAATTACTGGAGCACTCTCAATTCGTGTCCGTCTTCTCTCCCTTCCCACCGTGGAATCGAGAACTACCATGCCGTCTCCTTTTGTTCTTACCCAACGCCATACCTCTCATAAATCGCTCCTCACAGTTTGGGGCAACTTGACACTTACTTTACATATGCTATTTTAATTCACTAATTACTGTATATTTCGAAAACTGGTCGCGAATACAAAGTTTTTATATTTTTATATTAACTACGACATTATTATCTATCAAATATGTCAATTTCGAATTATGTTTCCGATAGATAAATTTTCCGATTTATACAAATTTAACAAGAGAAAATTACTAATCACATTCTAATGGGGAAAATAACTATAATTACTTGTCGAATACCAATTACTTTAACAATTACACTACTTAAACCTTTCACTGTAGTATCTAAATTTCCTCTCACTTACAATTCGCACAGTTCTCTAAAACACTTTTCACTACACTTCCACTTCGTTGCACCCAATACTTCTCTTCAAATTTCGTCGCCGTAAACTCACTTCCCCGGTGCCCATATGCGCGATCCAGTTCAACGATGAGGTCTTGCACAAGGGGACAATCTTCTGGAAGTAGGATAGGGTTGGGGATGGAATCACTGCCTTTATACTTCGATGTGCACTTCACTCGAAGCAGTCCATCTTCGTCTTTCTCAACTCGAACTTGAATTTTCTGGAGGTCGGAGAAGTACTTCTTCTGGATTACTCGCCACATCTGGGTCTCCGCCTGTTTGAGTTCGGACGCCACGATGGGACGTCTGACTTCCGATCCTCGGTCTCCTCGGAATAGTCGTCTTGCGTTGGTCGTTGCCCGCAAACTTTTCTGATACGAGGCACATTTCATCTCGATCAGATTCCCACTGGCCTCTTTCTTGTCCTCGAACAGGGCCCTCCCAACGAAGACATCCTCTCCCTTTGCATACTTCTCCACCTCAGGCTGCGCCATGGCCATCAGAAGCTCCTCTGGACCCTCCCACCATTTAGTCGAGCCCTCCCACCCTTTTGTCTCCAGTGGCTCCTCAGCGCCATCACCCTCACCGTTCCCCTGGTCTTCTTTAACTTTGGGATCGGGTTCTTGTTCACTCATCACCTCAACACTACCCGCCAACCCAAGCTCCTCCCACGACATAATCCCTTTCGCCCGCACAGTCATCGCAATTGCTGTCGTTACCAGACTTGACGACTTCAAAATTGGCACCTCCCCATTGACGTACCATCCAATTTTAGTCTCGGTGTCCATCACATCTTCATTCAGGCGAACCACGTTCCCCGTGCTGAGTTTCGCCAGAAGATTCGCCCCCACAAGGATGTCGATCTTGTGCGACTCCGCATACGTGTCAGTCAGATACACGTTTTTCTTGGCCAACTGCTGAAGCCAGGGTCCCTTGGGAAGTGGACCACACCCATCACAAATCAGGCTGGCTCCAAACAGAGGGAGCTCCACTTTCTCACTCCTCCACGACAATCCCTCAATTTTCACTTTGTATTCCTTCCTGGCACTGATCTCACAACCCCCACCAAACAGTTCTGTACGGAATACACGTTTTCCCACAGGTCTTAACTTCAGTTCGTCCACTAAATCTTCTCAAATATAGCTCACATTACTCCCGGAGTCGATCAGCAGTCTCACGGAAGTCCCTCTCGGAAGTCCCCCTTTTCACTAAAAACTTTCACTTTCATAGTCCCCAGCAGGACCCGTTTTTCATCAAGGCAGGTAGCTCCCAATGCCACTGCATGCTGGATGGTTGTCAGCGCCTGGACTCCATCAACGATCTGCTCAACTGACTCATCCTCCCTTTTCCGAGAACATAAGAACTTATAATGACCACCACCGCACGACGTACAAGTAATTGCGGCCGGACAATCCCACACTCTATGTCCTGTCTTCAGACACTTGAAGCAGACGTTGGCTTCCCTCATCTTTTCGTTCTTCTCGAATTGTGTCATCTTCTGCAACCGGAAGCAGGCGTGACTCGGATGACTTGACTTATCACAAAAAATACAACTTTCTCTGCCTCCTCCTGCATACAAGGCTGCTGCTGTCACAGGTCTTCCTTCTGTCTCATAAGCTCTTCCCTTATGGCTTGGACTCTTGCTCTTCTCGACATCGCTATTAACACCAAATCCAGACTGCGCAAATGCTCGCTGTTCCTCCCTCTCAACTTCTTTCTTCAGAAACAAAATGAGATAATCCAACTCGGTTCTGGGAGGAATTTCTTGAGATCCGTCATGCTCGTACATGGGACTACGTTGCCAGGCGATGAGGGTCTCTTCAGGGATGCTTGATTCCACCATCGGGTAAAGGAATCTTGCCATCTGATCGCCGGAAACATTGAGCGACTCCAATGCCCGCAGATGACTCTCCAACTTATCAAACATCTTGGCCACATTCACTTTTTCTTTAGACTTGGCATTGTTGATCACCATCTTCAACAATTCGCGCACATACACTTGGGTCAACAACTTCTCTTTCCCAAATCGCTCTTGCAAAGCGACTATCACTTTGGGGTAATTGTCACTGGTCTGGGGGTAACTCTCCACCAACTCACGTGCTCTCGTACCTTCCTTCATTGCTTGGACGAGGTACTGGAACTTATCACTGGCGTGGAGGTCCTCATCTTCATGAATCTTTTGGAACTGTGCCCACCAGCTCAACCACCCAGTCACTTCCCCACTAAACTTTTTCAATTCGATCTTCGGCAATTTGAACTGTCGCTTCTTTCCTTCGCTCGAGTTCGCCGTCCCGTATTCACTCCCTGGCATTTGGAGCTTAGATGAACACAGTTGTTCCAATCGAATCTGCATTTCACTAAATTTTTCTTGATATTTTCGGACCGTCGCTAGTTCCTGATCCATTTCGTCTTCAGGATTAACTTCAGAACCTTCCTCCGGCTCCACACTTGCTAGTAAGTCCATCATGTCCGTGTCCAACTTTTGTAGCTGCTCATTGTTGGCGACGAGGAGCCGCATTTTCGCTTCAACTGATACTTTCGCGACAGGGTCCACCTTCAACAACGTCTCGATCTCCTTACAGAGGATGGTGGCACTCCTTCGGACAGGTCCCCTTCGCCTCTTCACCTGCTCCATGGTAGGCTTAGGTTCAGTCATCTCAGGAACAACAAATCCAACAAAACAAAAACAATTAGAATTGGAACGAACAGATCTCAACACTGAACGATCTGCACCTCAATCTCCCCCGTATGCAAAGGGTGGAGCCCACAAAGTGGCAATACAACAAATAAATCCTCCTAGGTGGGATGTCTCTCACACGTCTTCTTTCCTCACTGGGTGTGGCAGGCGGGCGCTCCCTCTCCTCCTCCCCGATACTCGGACAAGAAACGAAAAACAAAAACAATATCACCTGGTAGTCCCCCGAAAACTCAGGGTGTGGTCCTCAATGAGGCAAGACTTTTTCTTTTTCCTCTTCAGGTGTCGACTTCCTCCTCCTTCACTGGGTCGAACTGATGCACTGTCACGTCGGGGTCACCAAAATGTGGGATCGCGGAACCTCACCCACTGGAAACTATCCACGCGTCCTACCCGGTCGCGAGAAGTCGCCGTATGTTGACTGTGCCGTGTTACAGTTCGAGTTTGATGAAGGGGATGATTACTACTTCTTCTCACTAACAATGCTCGGGTCAATTACAAACTTTAAAATAAACCTCTTTTACTACAAAACCAGGACTTTCTCTTTAACACAAGTTATTGACAGGCAATCACACTTCTCAAACAATTCACAAAATCAATTCCCACAAAATAATTCCCAAGTATTTAAACAATTACTGGAGCACTCTCAATTCGTGTCCGTCTTCTCTCCCTTCCCACCGTGGAATCGAGAACTACCATGCCGTCTCCTTTTGTTCTTACCCAACGCCATACCTCTCATAAATCGCTCCTCACAGTTTGGGGCAACTTGACACTTACTTTACATATGCTATTTTAATTCACTAATTACTGTATATTTCGAAAACTGGTCGCGAATACAAAGTTTTTATATTTTTATATTAACTACGACATTATTATCTATCAAATATGTCAATTTCGAATTATGTTTCCGATAGATAAATTTTCCGATTTATACAAATTTAACAAGGGAAAATTACTAATTACTGAATTACTGGAAATCTAGACGCGAAGACAACTATTTTATAATTTTTAATAATACCTACAATCATAAGCCTTGCATTAAGCCAAAAATTTAAATATGTTCCCGAACTCATTAATAAGATAGAACAATAATACCAAATTGCGCAACTTGCGCAAACAACACCATCTCACATACTACTGTAAGTACAATTGCGCAAATTGAACAAGTAACATTTTTTCACACACATACACTTATAACTACACACTTGCAGGCTATAATACTAGATTTGACACATGCATTTGAATGATTCTTGTTGGTAAAGGAGAGAGCCAATGAAATGAGTTCATGCTGGCGACCTTCCGTTGGCCCATAAGACTCACCGAATGCATTGGAGTCGATTTTCCTCAGGTAATCGCATCTTCCCTGGCTGCTCTCAAAATCATGAAAAAAGTTCTATGAAAATGCTTGCACTCATCTACATGCCATGCAGTGGTGGTGGCGATTGAGTACTTTGCATAAGATTCTCTCGACTGCAGGCATATACCTACGCTCTTTCATCCCATGCTGGGTGAATGTTAGTCACATTCACTTAATTTCTTTCAATTTTGTATTTATTTTTAGGTTGACGTATTTAATAATACTGTCGGAGGGCTGTTTTAGCCACTCCTGTTTGGTCCGACCTGAGGGGTATATAAATAAATCTTCACCGTTGACACACCACCATCATCATCATTAACTTAATTATTATATGGTAGTCTGAATCAATGTGATAAACTGATTGACTATTAACGAATTAATTCATGGATCGAATGAATGGGGAATTGGGGAATTTTAGTGTAAATATAAGATGAATCTATCACAAAATTACAAGTTATGCGGTAAAACCGCGGAAAATACTATTTTTTAACATTAAATATGT